GCGGTGAACCGCGCTGTGCTGGTAGAACCTGGCAAGGTGCTGACCGGGGCAATTGCCATGAAAAGAGCCAAAAGGCGATCTCGAATTTCCAGTCCAGTCGAGAGGGAACTCATCATAGAAGGTGAAGCCACCGGAATGTGGTGCATGTGAAAGGTTGTCCTGGGCTGCAACGAACCCACAAGCAAGGCCAGGAACAATCTGACTATCCACCACCGAAGGAGAGGGCTGGGGTTGACCATCCACCACAATGATGATCCAACACAAGAGCAGTTTGAAGATCTGCCACATGGTGCTACCAAAGGAAGGTGGGAGCACCTGACGAGCACCACCGTCAGGCCTCCTGCGATGTAGTCACTCAGAGCGCTGTTTTTTCTGCAAGAGGCCTTCAATGTTGGAAAAGCCTCTCGCCATGTCCTCTCGCAATGTCACGCTCTGCTGGTTGATGGAGTGCCCGAGATTGTTAATCTCTGCTTGTTGATGAGTGACCTGAGTGGCAACTTCCTGGAGTTGGAGTTGCGTGCGTTGGCTCGCGTTGGCGGCATCCGTGAACCAACGTTCATATTTGACGTGGTGCTGGCGGAGCTCAGCGACGTCCGCCTCGAGCTGCTGAAAGCGAAGCTCATTCACCCCAGCATCCTGGTCGTCGAGATCCATATCGGTACCGGCTGCCTGCTTGTTGAGATGCTGCTGGATGGAAGACTTGATGTCGGAGCGGAGCCTTTCTTCAACTTGCTGAAGCTTGTCCGGGGCAAAGGTGCTGGCACTGGTTGAAGCTGCAGGAGTAGACCATTTGGCCCATGGATCAGAGCCGGACATCCACAGGTCATGCGCCGATGCACAGGCCTGGTTCTGGCTGCGGAGATACTGCTGTGTCTTGGTGGACGCGATGAGGGGTTTGGAGTCAGCCTCAGGCTTGTTGGCTCGTACCTGAGAAATAACAACATCTCCATGTTGGCCTTGCAGAACTGCTGATGGTGGGGGAGTGCACGAACCAACATTCCATGCAGCTCCCGCAGAGTCTCCCCTTGCCGGTTGAAGGGGGCGTGCCTGCCATCCCCAGGCCTTGAGCGTCTTGACAAGGTGTTGTCGTTGCGTGCCATGAGGCAGTGGATGCAGCCGGTAAATGTCCGTGATCTTGATGTCAACAAACGGCTCATCTGGTTTGAGCTGCTCGTGTCCTGCCGCCAACGAAGTTTGAGCAAAGCGAATCCCATAGCGCCCCCGAAAGCGCGCCAAGGAGATAGCAGCATCTGTGGTCTTCAGCTTGTGTACTGCATCAGTGTATGATCCTCCGGGGACCCAGACAACACCATAGTCAGGGCTAGGCGCCTTGCCGGATTCGGTGCGCGGATCAATGTATATGCCAAAGGAGCCAGAGCTGGCAAGGACAACGGACAATGCAGAGTGTGGAACTCGAACAAACGCACTCCAGATGTCGGCGACATCACTATTGACCCGCTGGCCTTGGGAGTCGATCCATTGGCGGCTCCACACATCCATGATGACTGTGTTCAGCTCCTCATCGTCATCAACTGGCGCATGAAAACGAGGACACGTGTCCCCACAACCAGAGACCCGGCAAAGCGTCAGAATAGGCTGTTGCTGCATCGTGGCTTTGAGCGGTGATGAGGTGAATGCAGTCCAGTCTTGGGGCCATTGATCACGATGCACCAGGATCTTGAGTGTGCTGGTTGGAACCGGAGCCAGATTGGGAGAGTTCTTGCGGACCTCCTTGTTCACCCTCACCTGGCCCAGCTGGATCAAAGATCCATGGATCAGTACTGCTTCTTGGGTGCGAAGGTGCTGAGCCGGGAAGATGAGGTCATCAACTGGCAGCATCCCTGTAAGCTCATGTGGCACACAGGAAGTGGTAAGAATAGCCAGTGGGCCGTGATTCAAAGGGGTGCCATCCCTCAAATAGGGCGAGGCGTCCATAATGGAGGCAAAGGCGACTCCGTTCTGGCCCTTGGTAACCTTGCTGATAGCCAGAGTGCCAACTTGTGTGCCATCCTCGGCGAGGAAGGAGCCCGGGAGCAACTCGAGGTCACCAGGGCATACTTGAGGAACTGGATGCACAGCCTGACGAACTTGCTGGCCTTTGCGCTTGGCGGACGTGGAGATCTGAAGGCCGTACTTGGACTCACCTTTGAGCCGGACTTTCTCCATTAGCTCGTCGTGTTTGAGGAACATGAAGTTGATCGATGGCCGCGAACCAATTGCCTTCAGAGAGGCCCATACCTGCTTGGACTCCAATGCTTGGCGTAGATCACCCAAGCCAATTTTGTGAATTGCCTGCTGAGCCCGTTCGGCTGCACGATCGGCAGGAACACCTTTTTCAACAAGCAGAGGGACCAACGATGCGATAACCCGCTCCTCCGCCGAAGTGGGCCCGGATGCAATGATTTGACATGTGCGATCCTGACTGCCTTCCAATATCAACTGATGCGCCAGGGCGATGGGCTGGTACATTGTGAGGTCCAGGCGCCATGACAGGTGGAAAAGGGCAATGGTGCCACAAGTATGCGGATCATCTTGGGCCAATATTGACATCTCCCCAAAATTCCAGCACTGCAAATTCCAGGCCACTCCAAGAAACCTGACAAGTGCCAGTGCCCCCGGGCGAGCATGCCCTGGAATGCCATCGTATACGCAGGCCACAAAGCCCCCACCAAAACAAATACATTCCAGCAACGCCCAGTGTCCATTGTAGGCAAAGATGGCAAAGAGGCAGGCATCCAGTGCTGGCAGGGCCGATTGAGGAATGAAGTCAGGGCCAACATCATTACTCGCGATCCGCGTGCATACTGTCGGATCCATTATATGCAGTGGCTCCCCATTGAGTTCGCCGTGCAAATGGGCAATGCGTTGCATCTCCTGCTGGATATGGACATTGTTGAGGCCCGTGCCACCAATACCATTGGCTTCAAAGGTGTCCTCGATGCGCCGCAGTTGGTAAGGGCCGAAATACCCGCGATCCTGCAAGACTGCGTGTGCAGGGATCAGAAACGGACCATCCCATAGTGTGATGTGGCTCGTCGGATGGAGAGCCCGTTCAGCTTGAATGAGGTCATGAACGTGCTGGAGACCTTCACGTAGTACATTGATGTAAAGGCGGTGCTCATCCAAGAGGTGCACATGACGTGTAGCATGTGACTCTGCAGTTTCCCATAGATGATGTCGTTCGAAAAGCAACGATTGCTTGAAGTCCCGGACCAGTTGCTCAGGGTCACACAAAGGTTCCAAGCCAAAAGCCTTCTGGGTGGCCCGAACAAGGTGAGAAGCCACCCAAAGTGCTTGCATGGGTGCAGCTACCTGGCCAACCAAGCATAGTCCTGACCGAGGGCCCGGAAACACGACCGACTGAGGGATGGTGAGCAACAAGGCGGCCTCCTTGACGTGCAGGTATCGAGGAGCCTCCAACACCTGGGAGTGGATATAGAATCCTCTGAGGCCATCTCTCCGAAGTCTGCACATACTGAGCGGTGCAGCACGGCACCCACATGGACAAGGCTGGAAGACCGATCCATACGCATGCAGAATCGTAGGACAGCATGCCGTTACCCGAAGGACACGTTCATCCGGTCCCAGCTCAGGGTCATGAAAATGTCCCAGCTCCACATCGCTGAGTGCAAGCTGTACCTCATCCTCTCTGGGCCAGAATGGCCAATCGGGAATGATGTGGTTGATGGAGTCAAAAGCATAGTCCTTTGCCCAGGGCAGGAACTCCTCCAGGTCGAAGGTGCTGGGTGCAAGTATAGCCCACCATCTGTCACGCTTGGCAGGCCACTGATCTTGCAATCGCAGCGTGATCATTTTCACCTGAAATCCCATGAGGGCGGCCAGCTGGTGCAGAGCCTGTACAATAAATGGGTGTCGTAGCACAGAAGCAACACACTCCATGATCATGGCCGAGGCTTGCAAATGCCAGCAGGCTCTGAGCGACCCCCAAAAGGCCGAGGTCCGGGGATCCCACTCACCCTTCCGGTCTCCTTGCAAAGAAAAGGGCTGACACGGGAAGCCAACCGCCAATAGCGACCGATGCGGACATGAAGCCATGTGCAGCTGAGCGATACAGCCATCATCGCAAACATTGCCCTCGATGACATGTTCTGCCCCATTGTTGCGAAGGGTGGAACATGCCAGGCCGTTGCAATCCAGGTGAGCAAGAGGCCGAATACCTGTTCGCCTGGATCCCAGCGCGATGCCACCCAACCCGGCACAGATTTCCCGCATACACTGAAAATGCTCGACCACCAGCTCCGAACGGGGTATGCAGACCGATGCATCACCCGGGCTTGCTCGCAGAGTGCCTTCGTGCCTGGTCAACCGATACATGTAGATCGTGACCACCGAGGACTCCATGAAGGTGTCTGCAGGAAGCAACAAAGGCTGACCAGAGTTGACCACCTTCGCCACCACCAGGTCCACATAGGGAAAAGCCCCATGAAACGCCACCACCCCATCGCCCGACGTGTCCAGCCACGAGGTACCATCCATGGCTCCACCTCCCAACCCTCAGCTGACGTAGATCTACCCCTGACAGGAATTGGGCCGAGATCTCCTGTTGGGGGCTTCAAAAGAAATGGTGATGTTTCTTTTGACCTCCGTTTAAAAGCCACCACCAAAACGGGGGCCAGATCCAACCCATGACCTTGCCCTTCTGGGCGGCGGTGTGAGCGCGGCCTCAACTTTCTGAGTTCAGCGACGAAACCCGGAGGGTTTCATCCGGGTGGCTTGCTCATCGGGTGGTTTTCGGACCTTTTTTTCAGGGGTGCCGATTCCTATCGATTCCTAAAAGGCGACCTACCCATTGTTTCCAACACAGCGTGGGCAGAAGAATGTGTGGTTTCAAGGAAGGCCAAAAGGAGCACCCGTGCGTCCCGCTTTGCGGGCCCCCCTCAAGAAAGACAAATACGGATTTTCCGGAAAAAAACTTGTGGGCACCCCTCAAAAGCCACCACCAACACCCCCCTTGAGGTAGCCTCTTGATTCAAACTCAGGAGGCGGGCGTTTGGCACGTGGTCACTGCTGGCCTGCGCAAGGAGAAGTCAGCAGCGCCCAAAATCCCAGCAGCGACATGGTTCACAAAAAAACACTCTGCCTAGATAGCCAAGTTGTTGTTTTTTTCGCTTTTTTCAGTGGAACAAATCGATGGCAACTCGCGATCCAGGTGGTTTGCAGATGGGTTTTTTGTAAGTCCTGTACTCGCTTCTGCCGAAAGCCCCTTCCCCGGACCAACACCTCTTCAAGGGTCCCAAGAAAAGACCGGCCAAGGGGTTGAACAAGTCAATTTGACATTCGTTCCGTGTGGCTTCAAGTACGAGCTGCTACTGTGGACGGAATCCATTTCGCACCAGATTGAACCCATGGCAAACCTGTGCTTGTTGGCATTTACACGGGAATCATGATTCTAATTGGACTTCTGCATTGGGGCTTGCATCACAGGAGTGAGCGGCCCCAAGCAGTGGCTGTCATTTCGGTTTGCCAGTAAACCCGAAGTGGAGAAAACCGTGCTTGTCATGCGTTGCCTTAGCAATCAGGAGCCAGCACGGGGGAGAACGTGTGCCCTCAAGCAACCATAGAAGGATTTTTGCCGGGGGGGGGATTCCCTTCTTCATGGGTAGAGCCCCTACTCCAAATATTTCTTTCAGGGTGTCATGTCAACCCTCTACTACAAAAGGAGGTATCTACCGTGGAAGCCCAGGTTTTCCAACAACAATACCAACTGAAAATAACAACAACGGGTACTTGGAGCTTTTCCCAAACATACCAGCTGAAAAGTAAACGGGCATCTGGAGCATTTCCCAAACAGACCAACTGAAAATAAAGCAGGCATTTTCGAGCTTTCGGGGGTCGTTACCATAAACCCTAAACCCTAAACCCTGGAACCCCAAACCCTGGATTCCTAAACCCTAAACCCTGTAACCTTAAACCCTGAACCCTAAACCCTGAACCCTGGAACCCCACACCCTAAACCCTAGGTTTTTTTTGTTTTGTTTTTTTGTGTGTTTTGTTTTCCTTTTTGTTCGGAATTTGAGCCGTGAGGAGGGCTTCTCCTTCATGCTCCGCGGCTTCGGGGCCGCCATGCAGCGGGCCTTTGCAGGGACACCCAAGTCCAGTGGCTCCCCAGAGCGGCTGCTCCCCTTTCTGTTAACCCCGGATCTAAGCAGAACCCTGGTTGATTTTGATTGGGGGGTGTCCCCTTTTAGTGGTTGGATTCAGACCTTTGGAGGGAACACCCCCCTAAAAATCTGCCGGGTTTATTAATCCTGGGTCAACATTTTTCCCTTGTGCTGATTGTCAACTCCACTGGGGGGGTTCCCTTCAAGGGTCCTTTCAAAGGGGTTGTTTCATGGTTGCTGGTAACCTATGGGTTATGACCAGTCATAAGGCCCCGCAGACCACTGCCGATGGCCTTGTTGGCTCAAAAAATGGTTGTTGCGAAACATTTTGCATTTTTGTGTATTGTGGTTTAGTGGGACATCCCCACTTACGTGACTGCTAGAATTTAAATCTTTGCTCCCCAAACCCAACGTCAACCAAGTGTGGTTCCCTTTTTTTGGAGTTGGTCTAGGCCCCCAGCTAGGTGCCCTTTTACCGTTTCGTTTTGTTGAAGAGGGTTACTAAAATAGACTACCGAACAAATTGGGTACCCTGATTCTAACCCCTCTACCGGAGGACCTAGTTGTGGTTCCTGTTCTTTTGGAGTTGGTAGCCCTGTTGGTGGTGAAGCCATGCCGCAAGGAAAACCGCCTTTTGTTTTGGGGGACGGGCCGGCGGAGTCCCGGAATCCCCCAAAACAAATTAGACACCTACCAACAGAAGCAGAGTGCCTCTCATGTTGCCTACAAGTCCACCGGGCGTTTTTTACGGGGGGTTTGGTTCCATTTGCTGAACTATGTGTTTATATGTTGCCCGGTTGGTTTTAGGATCGATTTCACTACTGGAAATGTGTTCCGATTGTTTGCAGGAGAAACACGTTTTGAATCCAGCCAGCCACCAATGAAGGGTTGCTGTGGCCCACATTGCCACCCATACGACGCAATGGTAGATTGTGGTCAATTGGAGAACCGGTGTCCTTGTTCCCTTTGCAATATTTGGAAGTGGTACCCCATTTTCTGGCAAGTGATGGAACCAGACCGAAATGGTTGGTTTCCTTGTGGCATCCTTCTAAAACTACCCAGGAAGGGTACCCTCAAAGCTGGGCAACTTGGATTTGCAACTTTTGATTTGCAAATCCAGCGGCCGTTTGTGTTTTTGTTTGGGGTGTTTTTTTTTGGGGGGGGGTTTTGCCACCATGTTAGTGGCAAACACGAAGTGTGGTTACTTTTTTTGGCCAACTTCGATCGGAAGTGAACAGTGAACTTCGTAGCTTCCTTGGGATGGAACATCGGATTGGGATTCCAAGCCTGCAGGGTGTTTGCGGCCAGAAAGCTCGAAATGGAATTGGGGGACCTGCCCCTCAACCTACTGGTGCACAAAATCCATCTCGCACCACTTGCAAACCATGGTTGAAACCATTCCCAGTGGATCCACTTACCTGTATAGTTAACCATGGGAACCTTCCTTTAAACACCAAGTGGAAAATGGCTGGTTACCTACTACACTGGCAACTGGGATCCATAGGGATTGTTCATTGATACCTAGATAGCCAAGTTGCGATCCCTTTTTGCAGTCACTGTTGCTGGTTTTTGGGGTAAAGTTCACGGAAAAAAAAAGCGCGATCGCAACAGGATATCCAGGTATTTGAACTGGATTTCCGGGCAACCATTCACAATGGATTGGCCAGCACTTTGGTGACGGCTCGCCCCGCGGATAAAGGAAACCAGCAGGAGATCTAGCGGAAGTTAGCCAAACCTTGCTGGGGCCCTATTTTTGGGCTCAAAATGTCTTCTAGGGAGGTACTTGGACCATCTGGGTGGTTAGTCCTACTTGCCCAAAGCGACTCGACCTTTTGACCTTTTGCCCATTTTGGGGCGCCAAACGGGTTAACTTCTATTTCTGGCTACCTTGGGCATATCAGAGCCAGGAAGCCCTGATGCAGCCCGATTCACACACACCGAGTCCTTTGATTTTGCCAGGAGCCGGCCTTGACCCCCCAGCCTCAAGGTCTTGGGCTCCATTTTCTTTTGATTGCAACTGAGCACCTGGGCTCTCAAACTACCGGACTCTCAAACTACCAGCTTAAAAACTTGCAGAAAAAAGTCACCGAAGAGTCACCAAGCAGAATTCTACAGTTGCTACAACCAACTGTTAAGGCTAGTTTGAGGGTCCAGGTAGCGTCCGGGCGACACTTCTCCCCGCTCGCGAGGTGCTGAACGCGGCCACCTTCGGCGGCTACGAGCTCGCCGTGGCCGCCTGGGACAAGCTCTGAGAGTCCCAGCGCGAGCGAGCGAGCCGGAACCGCTCGCCCGAAGATCGGGGGCGAAAAAACCATCCCCCTACTCCAAATACCCGCTTTTTTCACGGTATTTTTTGGGAAAACCTGGTGTTCCATGGTAAATATATACCTCCTTTTTTAGTAGAGGGCCGGCATTATACCCTGACAAAAGTGGGTATTGGGTGTAGGGGGTTTGCATAGTATGGCTTATGTTCCCTCTAGGAAACATGCCCCCTATACCCAATGCCCACCTTTCTCAGGGTATGACGTCGACCCTCTTTTTCCAATAATGCCCTGAAAAAAAACATTTTCTCGAGGGGGGAGGTGAAACAAATGGAGGGAATCGATCGACATGACCAAAGGGGCCTTCTTTTGGATTCCATTCCCTCGGAGCCCTTTGGACCCTAAACATGAAGGAAACCCTTTGACCCCCAAACACCCCAAATAAGTTTTGGCCTTGGCATTTCACGGATTTGTAGTTAAGGAGACAAAGCTAAGTGATCACCTTTGGTTTCTGGGTCCAAACGCAACGCAGGTCACCTGGACCAAAGTTTGTTTTGTGCTTACTGCTTCGTCCAGGCCGCATGTGGCCACAGAAGGCTGGAAGAAATCGTTTTTCGCGCTGCTGGCGTGATCTGGAAAAAGGGGACCGACTCGCCGGGATTGTTCAGGACTTTGCTGGGCAACCCTTCACCGTACCAGGAGGTGGGATTCGTCACAAAACATTCCAAGTACCGCCCAATAGCACGATAGCAGTGGTTGGGGAAACCGACCGTGTCAGAGCTACACCGAAAAGCAGTGGTTGGAACCCGGGCGGATCCTTTTCAAGACTTCTTTGCTTGCAGCCTTGAAAGTCGAGTTTCTCCTTATGCCGTTCGGGTCTGGGGCTACCAGGAGGTTCCCCAAACGAGGATTCTGTTCTGGCCCCTGCACCACTACATGCCATAGACCCCCGCACAGTGCCAGCATTCCATGTGTAAGATAATTTTCAAGGTAGCTTCTTTGGATGGCATGTTTAATTTTGTGCGGGGCTTGGACCAAAGAAATGTGGTGAATCCGCTGTGAGTCCATGAAAGCCCGGTTTGCCTACGTTCTGTGATTTTGTTGCTTGCACGCTTCTAATTAAAAGCCCAACGAGAACGAAGCCCATGGGGCTCCTCCCTACTGTGAACGGACGAAATCCATTTCGCACCACTTGGAAACCATGGTTGAAACCACTGTTCATTGGTATTTACAGGGGAATCATCAGAATCCAGGGTTTCTTAGGTGGTGCGGAATGGATTTCACAACCATCCACAGTATTTTGAGTCACACGCTTATTCGGTGTCCCCAGCCAACTCCCCCCGAAAACCGCAGGCTCTCGAGCCGCGTCCGACGATTCTGCCAGCTGCGGAGCGCCAAAGGCGATTGCGCGCCTGAACCTACCAACTCGGATCTCCAAAGCTACCCCCTACTCAAAATGCCATCGTTTTTTTCAGGGTATGTTTGGGAAAACCTGGTTTTCCACGATAAATGCCTGCTTTTTTAGTAGAGGGTCGGCATCCTACCCCGAAAAAAGAGGGTACTGTATTTGGAGTAGGGGGTATGGTTATTCCATTTGTTGAAGATCTTGATACCCGGACCCAAGCTTTAAACTGCCACCATTCCCGATCCATTTTGATACCTGGACCCTCAAACTACCACAGCCATTGGATCCCAGAGAGCCCGTTGGAAGTCTAAAGTCCAGATCTGAGATGGGTGTGGCTCAAAATTAAAGAGCTAAGGTTACGCAGGTTTAATTAGTTGTTGGTTGCATTTACCACGGTGCTATTCTGGTACATGTTTTTGAGCCACAGCCAGATCGGTGTGCTGAGGGCTGTTTGGGTTTGAGGTGAGTTGTTGGACTGGTGATGCCGAAGGACCAAAGGACTCAAACACTTGAGGTTGTTTCCTTTTTACATTGCCAGACTCATCGAACCTTTTGCTCAAAGGGGCAGGGTACGTCAGGCAAGTGGTTAGTACGCCTGGTTATGACCCACTTATAATCATGGCATGTGGGCTATAACTCACTTCCTGAGTTGGTGGACTTTAAACTTTTTGGAAAGACCATTTTAGTGGTAAATAAAAAGTTCAAACTTTTTTTGGCCAGTCAACTTGGGAAGTGAGATAACCACGGTTCTTTTCCCACTTACAAAGTACCCTGCCCCTTTAAGTAACCAACCTTTTGCCCTTCGGGATTTCCGCCATTCCCTACCAGCAAAGAATCTTGTTTGGCCAAGGTTTCTGTGTCTGGCCAAGTTCAAAGCCATATTGGAGGGTCATTTCGAAGACTTCAATGCACCACGTAATTGGCACGTTATTCTAGGGGTTGATTCCTATTCCATTTGTTTCAAGAGTCGTTCTTTCCAAACACTGGCCGTCTTCTCTCGGTTTCTGGAGGTTTTCTGGAAAGACGGATCCCTGGAAAGAATGGGGATGGAAGTGTCCCCCTAGAGTGATGCGTTTGCCGTCCTTTGCTTCATCCACCGCATCCCCGGGTGTGCTTTCTGCGACTCGCGCAGCCGCAGCCGTTTGGGCTTGCAGCCAATGGGCCGCGCGCGCCCGATAAACCGATTCCATGGGGGGACGGTGTCTAAAGCAAACCAAGCCGTTGGACAGCCTGAGGGTAGCTGCGCATGGTCTGCGTGCTTCAAGTAATGAGTCGTACCTGTTTTGCCTTTACAATGTGAAACGCCTAAAACGTGTGGCTTGGTTTTGATTTACCTTTTGGAGACGTTTACACATTGAAGGGAGACGGATCGTGGAAGCAATAAAGACGGAGGCTCAACGGTTAGCACTTTGCCTATATGTATCTATGCTTTTTTGGGTGTTGAATCAGCCTACGCTCGCGTGCCAAGTTTCACGAAAGCGCTATAAGGCTTAGCTTCGGGATTGTGGCTTTGGGCTTGCAGCCCCAGGAGAAGTCTGAGCAAACGTTGTGCGTGGATTTCTGGTTGAGCTGCCTGGGGAAAAGTTTGCTACAAGAGAGTAGGCTAAACGCATCCTAGACCTGCCACATCCGAAATCGATCCATGAACCAAGGCCCTGTCCAGGGGCCTTCCAATGAAGAAGCCGGACCAATTCCTCAGGGGCCCTTGAAGCAAAAAACACACACACATCATTTTGAGGGCAGACAAAAATCCATCGAAAGTTGGAGCCTTGGGGCAGGGCTCCCTGCCCTGTTTTATTTGCAGGGCCCTTGCCCTGCGGGCCGATCCCGAGATCTCGCGGATTCCGCGCGCGCGAAAGCAAGCGAGCGCCAAGGCGCGGTCGACTCGGGCCTTTGGGCTGACCCCTGCCACCCTGTGTTTATGGAGTCCGTAAGGGGGGGACCCCGAAGAACCCTACCCCCTACTCCAGATACTTTTTTTGGGTATGATGTTGAACCTCTACTAAAGGAGGTATTTACCATGGAAGCCCAGGTTTCTCAATAAATACCCTAAGCAAAAAGTTGGTAAATTGGAGTAGGGGGTAGATCTCTCAGCTACCCACCCTCGGGGCCCTTTAGGCACTTGGGCCTTGCACTTTGGGGCCGTTGCGCTCGGAATCTTTGGATGTAGCGATGGGCGCGAACTCGCGAACTCACCGTGTCGGATCGGAGGTCAAAACCGATGGCTCGAGCCACCCGGACCCTCAAAAATCAACTACCGCCAACTTCAAAATGGGGCGAATTGCCAAGCAACCTCGCGGGTGATTTCCAAATTGTACAGCAAACTTACAGTGGGTGACTTCCAAGTTGTAAGGCAAACAAGTATGGTGGGTGCATTGCCCCTTTTTTGTGCGGGCAGTTTGAGGGCCCACACCTCTTTCTTCTCCCATTTCTCAGTTGCCCAACCGAATCGACCTTTTGACCTTTTTGGTTTTCCAACCACCCCCAAGTAGCCACGTTTTTCCAGCCACTTTACCCCTAGTAGCCCAATTTGGCAAAAGTAGCTGGAAAATACGGGCAACTGGGGATCCAGGCGCATGGTATATCCAGGGGTCCGAACTGGGGCGAGAAATGTTCTCCATTCGCATTCCTTCCATTTGCTTAAGAATATGTTGTTTTCCCTGTTGGTTTTAAAGGGAATCGATTTCACTACTGGAAATAGTTGTTTTCTTTTCCTGGACCCCCAAAGGACCGATTCCTTTTTTCTGCCTTTGACCCCAAATAAAAAGGGGTACAAAGGCCGAACAAAAATGGAATCGGTCCTTTGGGGGTCCAGGGGCCCCCAAGGGGTCGAAAAACCGAATGGAAGGCCTTCCTTTTGAAGGCCGTCGACGGTGATGTCGACGGTGGAGCTGAGTGAGCTGGAGGCTCATGAGCTCCCCTCCTTCCTCACCATGGTCACCGTTGGGCAAGCTGAGCTGGCGCAGGAGACCCAACTGACCTCTTAAAAACACGAAACTTTTCAACTTTTGGGTGGCATGGGCTATATGTCTGTAAAAGATGAAAACTTCCCCAGGGCTTGGAGTTTTAAGGGGTAAGCAAAGGTCCACAGGCCGCGCTCCACTGTTGGCTTCTGAGCGCTCAGACTCGGCAACTTAGAGGGGCTCTGCAAAAAAAGGCACTGTTTGTTGAGTTTCTTTTTTGCAAGAAGCACGATGTTGTCAGCATACCAGGCAAAACGCGGGGTATTTGTCCAAATGCATGACACATGTGCAGGGTTTTTGAAGCTGTAGGCAGTTTCAGGTCCAGCTAACCACTTCCTGATGGGGCAAAACAAGTAAAGGTCTACCTGGACCCTCAAAAAATAGCCTCAACAAGTGGACATCACACCTACTTTTTGGTTGCAACCCCGTTTTTAAGTTGCTAGTCTCAGGGTCCAGGCGGCCATCCGCACATGTGCCACCGCTGGTCTCTTCCCAGGAGCGGCGGGTGGTGCGAATGCGCCTTGCGAAGGCCCCCGGGAAGCAGGCGTTTCTCTCTGAGAATTGGGGGGTGTGGTAGGGTGTGCTTCTGTTAGGCAAACCACAAGGTAAATTCAGCTCGGTTGGATCCAGAAGAAGGATCCACTACTCCAAATACCCCCTTTTTTTTCAGTTGGTATGACTTGTCGGCCCTCTACTACAAAAAGGAGGAGGTATTTACCATGGAAAACCGATCGGCTTTCAGCCAAAAATGCCAAGTGAAAAAAAAAGCGGGGGTACTTGGAGTAGGGGGTAAGGCTATGTAAGGCTTGAAGTTTGAGTGTTAGGATTTCGAGCGTTTCTGGGGACTGGAAAGTATGTTCTCCTTTCCAGGGCTTACATTTGGACCCGAAGAAACCAGCCCAAAAGATGGGACGAATTGCCAACCTAGGTGGAATTCCCCTCACTTCCTGAGTTCATGAACTTTAAACTTTTTGGGATTCTCGTTGGCAGGGGTTCTCGTTGGCAGGGGATTTGTCCGTTAGGTCATTCTCTTCCATCCAGATCGGAGCCCCTGTGGTGAATATTCATTCTAGGTTCATCGACATAAACAAAGTCCAGATGGTTCTCTGCGGTACAGGGAAGCAATGGAAGTAAAACATTGGTAACAGTGGAGCTTGCAAAAGGATCGTGGAACAAGTAAGGAGCCACGTTACACTTCTCGAGTTCTGCGTGTTTTTTTAATGCAAGGTTTCTATACCCCATGCCCCCCTTGAAATGCACGAAGTTGCTGGACTTTGAACTGTTTAAAGTTTAAAGTTTCCGTTTGGCGGTGAACAACAGGTCTGCTTACCTTTTCGGACTTGCGGCAAACAACCCCGAGACTTACAAACATGTCCTAACATGTGCAGCCAGGCAAAACACTTTGTCAACTCTGTCCTTTCAACCCCGGACCAAAACACAGAACTGATGCGTTTACGGCTTTTCCAAAATACACACTTAAAAATCAACTTATTGTAGTTATTTGCCATGGAACAAAAGACATGCTCGACGCCTTCCAGCCCAAAACTTGCTGGTGCGATAGGTAGGGAATGAGAAATGGAATGACCAAAGCCTGCAGGTTCATTCCCACATCCCCTTATCGTAGCAAGAGGACCTGAAGTGGCTGTGGGTCAAAACCAATGGTCCCATTTGGTAGGTGAATTCACCACCCACTTTAGGACCTATTTTAGTGGTGTGAATCGGATGTTCACTGGGGGCGAACCGATTTGGCTTGGGATTTTGAAAAGGCCATGGCCAAGTCGCGAGGCCCTGTGTATCTTGTCCACCTTAGTGGGTGCCTTCGCGCTGGCTGTCCTCAACTCCTTGGCGGCGCTGTCCTTGAGCAACATCTTGCGCCCAGGCGCGAGTTGGATTTGGTTCCCTCAGTTGTTCAGTGGCACCAATTATTTTCCCCTTTTTTCTCTTGGTCGCTGCCCCACGAAAAATGGTCTTCCCAAAAAGGGTTCCCTTTTTTCCCAGGGTCACTGAACAGCTGAGTTCCGGCGCCGAATCCCGATTTGGTGGAATCCCCCCGATTTGAGAGCGGAAGCGCCGTGGTGTTTTTGTTTTCCCGGGTGATCCAGGTGTGTGTGTGTGTGTGTGCGTGTGAAAGTCTGGATTTGGACCGGTGATCCCAAAATGCCTGTTGTCAGAAAAAGGAGCTTCATTGGTGACCCTGAGTTGCTGTGGCCCCTATTGGGCTTGGGGGGTTCCCTTCGTCCCAAGCCGACCTGCAAGGGGATGCGAACCCCAGATCTTTTGCAGAACCGAAGGGATGAATACAGTGGATGGAAATGCGAAATCCATTTCGCAACACCGAAGAATTCCTGCAATGATGATTCCTTCACTGTTCTTGGCATGTGTTTTGTTTTTTTTAGTTTTTTGGTTCTGTTCATTTTTACAGGGGTCTGCAAAAAACAAAGTTTTTTGCTACCATACCAAGAGTAGAGATGATTCCCCGGTAAATACCATTAAACAATGATTTCAACCATGGTTTCTTAGGTGCTGCCGGACTTCGTCCATCAGCAGTAGGGGTGGAAAAGTATGATCACTGAGTGCAGATCAAACACATAAAGCTGGGGGAAGCACACGTCATTTTGTTTCCGGGCAAGACAAGTTCCTAGGGTCTGACGAGATTGTTCTTGGTGTATGGGGGTTGAATCACACATTTTTGGAGACTACCAGCTTCACACCAGCGGCTGGTTCGAAGGTTTGCCAAGGAGCTGAGAGTTTCTACCCCCTTCCAAATACCCGCTTTTTTCAGGTATCATGTCGACCCTCTACGAAAAAGGGTTTGGCATTTACCAGGGAAAGCCAGGTGTTCAACCAAAAATGCCAACTGAAAAAAAAAGCGGTGGTATTTGGAGTAGGGGGTAGATTTGCTTTTGAACAGGGGGGGGTCGGAGCTGGCGAGGAAGGACATGGCAGCACAGGTAGTTGTGCTTTCCCATTTTGGGGACGGGTGAAACACCATTCAAAGCAGCCCGTGGCATCCACTCAGGAAGTGAGATAGTGACTTCCATTTTGCGTTTCAGAATGTGTGTTTCTTTTTCCCTGTTTGGTTTTAAATGGAATCTATCAATACTGGATGTTTTGTGTTTTTTGTATTTTTTCCCCAAGGGGCTTAGGCAAATGGAAGTTGTATAGTGGGTAACGATCGGCCAGCACATGGAACCCCGCTTGCGGCTCTTAGGTTGGATATGCCATTTGAGTGTTACTTCAAGTTGCTTCAGATCATGCTTTTGGGTTTGTCGGTTCTGTTCTCGGTAGGGGCTGCAACACAAAAAGCCGGTTTTTGCTACCATACGATTTGGGTTGAAAAGGTTCTTCAAATCAGAAGAGAGTTGCCAGGTGGGGTTCTTGTGAAGGAGTGAAGGAGGGAGCTACAAACCTGGACCCCCAAAGGACCCCTTTTTTCTGCCTTTGACCCAAAAAAGGTACAAAGGCAGACAAAAGGGGTCCTTTGGGGGTCCAGGAAGCTACCGGCTTTGACTCGAGTCCTGAAGGGACGGATCGCACAGCAGGACTTGGTGATCTGGACCTGCAAGCTACCAATAAAACCAGGAATTCGCCCCAGGAATTCGTCCAGGGAACATGTTATCACCAAGCGAATCGACCAAAGCGAGCCGAGCAAAAAACCTAAAAACGTCGACCTAGGGTCTCCATGACCCTAAAAAATGGTTGGTCATTACCCAACATTAAGGGTCATGGACCCATTTTTAAGGGTCATGGTCTAGGTAGTCTCAGAGACTCGTGGGCCCGCGTACCTAGGCTATATAAGTTGTTTGTTGTTGTTTTTTTTGGTATCCCAAAGTGTTCAGAACACCTGCAAAACCTCCGCCGAGTTTCCCACTAAAATAGACGACAGAAAGAAGGGGAGCCTTATTCTAACCTCCCTAGGTAACGTTTTTTCACCAAGCGACTGCACCTGCAAACTGCAACTCTACCCATCAAACAGGAATTCGCCCCAGCGAGTCGCAAAAGCGAGCCGATTTTCAAAGCGTTCAGGGGGCACCTGCAAAAGCTCCCGCCGGCGAGGCTTTCCAGTCCTCACCCCGCTGCTCTTCGTGGTCTTCGCCATTTGCACCGCCCGCACCATCTCTGGCGCCGGGTTCGACGCCAAGCCGCCGCCTCGTTTGCCTTCCGGGCGGTCCTTCGCCGGACGGTCCTTGCGGTCTTGGGGGCTGAAGTACTTCCACTTGAGCCTGGGCTTGAATCCAGGGGACGGCTCTCCTTCACTGTTGGCTCAAGCTTCTGGTGTGTGTTTTGGCTTTTTTTGGGGGGGTAGTGTTCAGTTTTAGGTCCTGGGGGCTGCAAAAAGAAGAGGAAAAGCTTCTTGCAAGCCCATACCATGCCCATACCAAGTGGTTGTATCGTCTCGCCGGCCTTCTGATCCGTGCTTATCGCGGAGTTTGCCTTCTTTGGAGAGGCCTTCCCTCAGGGAGTTCTTTTTCAAGAAAAACAAGTGCCAAAAGTCAATCCATCAACAGACAAGGATGTTTCCAAGCAAATCGAGTCCAGCAAACAAAAAAGCCACCGGAAACGATTGTTTCTTCAAAAAAGCAAGGACGGTCATCTGCTTTGGCAGCTCACCACTTCACACGGCTTCACGCCGCAAGGCGCGCCTTGCGCCGCGCGGGTTTCTCTCAGGAAGGTGGCGGTGCTCGAGCTGGTGCAGTTGGCCAACCAGCTGCTGCGCTTGGCGGCTTGGCAGCGAGAGTCGAATGAGCGCAACTCATGGCCGCGAAATCCGGAAAAAATCGCAGCACGAAAGGAAACCAGGGTAAAAAAGCCAGCGTTTGGGTTGGTATTTGCAGGGAATCAGAGCATTCCAGGGCTTCTTGGGTGGTGCGAAACGGATTTCGTCCATGCACAGAAGGAGCCAAACTCACTCACTCTTTGAGTTCTTGGCCTTGCGACCGGTGGAAAGGACGATCCAGCAATTTGATGGGGTCCCCCAGCTAGGTCCCCCAGCTAGGTGCCCTTTTACCAACTTGTTTGGGGGAGATTCGGTCCCCCTACTAAAATAGACTACAGAAAAAAGTTGGTGCCCTTATTCTACCCTCTCTACTGGAGGACCTAGCCTAAAGAAGGCACACCCATTTGGGGAAACGGCGGAAACGGGGGGTCCCCAGAGGCTTCCTTCATGACAGGTACTCATACCCCCTACTCCAAATACCCGCCTTTTTCAGGGTATTTTTGGGAAAACCTGGTTTTCCAAGGTAAATGCCTCCTTTTTTAGTGGAGGGTCGACATCATACCCTGAAAAAAGTTGGTATTGGGTGCAGGGGGTAGTTTGGATACAGTGAAGCGCAATCCACCAAAAGTCGAGAAGGAGCCGACGTCAACATGGCGGGCAAACAGAAGGAAGTCATGTTGACCTCGAAAGAACGCGCCCGCCCACAAATGCTTACCTCTTAAAAACACAACTGTTCTCAACTTTTTGGGTCACATGGGCTATATGTCTGTAAAAGATTAACTTCCCCAGGGCTTGGAGTTTTAAAAGGGGTAAGCCTATTAGTCAACTAGGGTTGATGAATCCTGGGTTGACATTGCCCAAATAGGACCCAAATCTCTGGGATTCATGTACCACTCATGAAAACAACGGTGGCGTAAATGAAGCAGTAATGAAACCACCATTGTTTCATCATCTCCTACAAAAGTCGGAACCAAGTTGCTGGGATTCATTTACCACCATTAAACCAACGGTTGTTATTGAAACCACCATTATTCACCTAAAGTGTCATCATCTAAACTGGGCTCCCTTGGGCCATGCGTTCGCTTTTGATTGCTGAGTTTCTGGACTTGAGACTTGCTGGGGTTGGAACGGTTTAGTGGGAAAGTTTGCTTGGGCCATCCACTCAGGACGTGAGTTTATTGGAGGCTGTTGAAACCTTTGGGAAAAGGGGATGAGGAGGACCCCATTGCTTCAGCACGAACTTGGTTGCCCAAGTCGACCGGATCTGACCGATTCCGGTTTCCCTGTTTTGGTCCACTTCCGTTTGCTTGCGAATATCTTTGTATTTCCCTTTTTGGACTTAGAGGGAATCGATCGCTACTGGACCCATTTTTCCGGGCGGTAAAGTAAATGGAGGGACTTCGTCAGGGGCACAAAAGGTGAACGTCTTTTTTCCAGGTTCTTCTTCAATTTTGATATTGCAATACTATTTTGCATTTTCCCTTGTTGCTTTAAAGGGACTCTATCACTAGCGTGTTGTTTTTGTGTTTTTGCACTTCAGACTATGTTGAAAATACAATTTTGTATTTTCCCTTGTTGCTTTAAAGGGACTCTATCACTAGCGGTTTTTTTTGCAGGGGACTTAAGCAAATGGAGGTCTTTGCTTGGCAAGTGAGCGAAAGAACATATGGCTCGAAATCTTTGGGAGCCGCCCAGCTAGGTGACGATGCTCTCGCTGGGCCAATCTCGCGTTTGGATCAGCGCCTGGGAATTTGGAGTTTGGAACTGGGGCTCTTCTTAAATGGGGCAGGGTTTGGTCCATGTGTATCCTTCTGTCCCTGGTTTGGTCCATTGTTATCCTTCCTTCCCTGGTTTGGTCCATTTTTAGCCTTCTTTCAATCTTTCCCTGTTTGGTTTTTCACCTTCTTTCCCTGGTTTGGTCCATGTCTATCCTTCTTTTTCGAGAGATTCCGTGGTTGGTTTATTTTAACCTTCTTTCCCTGGTGTGGTCCACTTTTAGTCAAGGTTGCAGAAGGCAAACCCTGTATATTTGGGTCCAAACTAAACAGAAAGGAGTGATCGATTCGGTACGTCAGGCAATTGGTTAGTACGCCTGATGAATGGAAACTTATAACCATGGCTTAAGTGGGTTATCTCACCATGGTAATGCCCCCAGCTACTAAGTACAATGCCCCTTTAGGCTTACCTGGCTGCTAGTTGGTTGCCTCACCCTGAAATTACCCCCCCAAAAAATAAACAAAACACGTGGTTTGCTCAACATGACGGGTGGAATTCCAATTTTTCATGGGCAGTTTGACAGTCCAGGTGTATCTTGATAGACTTTTCGCTGTTTCGGGAGATGAATTGTTTTTTTCTCTACTTAAACGGCAACACACAGTCATTGTCGATTTGCACAGGGGGCGTGTTTCATCATCCAGCTTGGAGCATTAAAAAAAAAAAAACGAAAGAGTTTTCAACGGTCTCCTTTGATTTCCCTGTCCAACTTCCTGAGGGTCTCGGGATCAACCCTCTCATACTCCCCTTTCCTTCCATTCTGTTGTTTTCAAGCTATGGGCAGCTGCTCCTGAAGATATCTCGATTCTTTGCAGGGGACGTATGAGCAAATGGAAGTGTTCCGCCTTTGCCCTGAGGGACACACCAACCACTTGTTTCAGTTGGTGCAAACCCTTTGAGCTTTGCAAAGGATGCCTTTGCAGCTCGTAGTTCTCCAGGAGCGCGACTGCTGGAAATATATTGATATGATTTTCCAACTTCCATGGAAAGGTGTTATCATGTTCACCTCACTTGCCCCAAGCGAATCGACCTTTTGACCTATCCGTTTCCCCATTATGCGTTTATGTTGAAGTCATGACTCCCAAACAACAAAAGGTTAACTTTCTATTTCTGGGCCCAAAGGGGCCAAGTGAGTGACCCCTGAGCTTTGTAAAGGATGCATTTACCCATGGAAACCAGATTGTTGAACAGATGCCCTGAAGCAACTCCTAGGTCCCCCAGTAGTGCCCTTTTACCCTTTTTTGGGGGAGGGTTCCCAATGGGGGGAAGGAACAGCATTTATAGCTGGTTTTATCGTCTGGTTGGGTCGACTAGAAATCAAAAGCAATTCAGTCCCTGGGTTCCATTTTGGACTTTCTGCTTTTTGCCTTGTCTGTGCTTGTCATTTTAGTGGCAACCAAAAAGTTGCAACTTTTTCTTGGCCAGCCGTTTTTGCTTTTTTCTTTTTCGGGCTCCCGCTCGCGTTCACGGCTTCGTTTCGGAGCCGAGGTGTTCATGCTGTGCTGATCTGCATCAACGCTTTTGTGTCCCCACGGCTGCACTTCTCCCCAGAGGTGCAGGCGGAGCCGAATTTTTGACCGGTGGGCAGCGGATGATCGAAGGGTTTTTGTCAGGGGTGGCATCCATTTGCTTAAGAACAGTTAGACAAACACATGTTTTCGCTTGCTGGTTTTAAATTGAATCAAACACTAATTACTGGAAATATGTTTGTATTTTTTCCAGGGGGCTTAAGCAAATGGAAGCTGGGGTTCTTTCATTTAGCTAAGAATGTGCGCTGTATTTCCTGTTTGTTTTAGCGGGAACCTCTCACCGGTAATTGCGTAATTGGTGGTCTGGATTTGGGTTTGAACCCCTAGTTCTTGTACTGGATGGGACACCCCTCGGAAAACCACCTGACCACCGATCCAACCCACCAACTGGAAGGAAGCTCAGGATGAAAGGTTGTTCTCGGGGCTTGTTCCGGCTTTTAGTAGGACTTCCCCGGATTTTGCATGTGGAGTTCCCGTAAGTGGATTTGGTGTATTGGCGTAGGGGGGCCTTCCATGAAAAGAAAAGTCTCCCAACCAATTGTCTGTCCCATAGAAATCCAGCGACGGATGCCCTTCTCACTTGCCAGTTTGGACCCAGAAACTCCAGCTGAACCTTTTGGGACCTTGACTAAACATGAACCAAAGCGGCGACCCGCCAGGTCAAACAGCAGGGTCGGCTTTGGACAACTCAGCCTCATTGCATGGACCCCCAAAGGACCCCGATTCCTTTTTTGCTGCCTTTAAGTCCCCTTTTTTTTGGGGTCAAAGGCAGACAAAAGGAGTCGGTCCTTTGGAGGTCCAGGAAGTTTCGATCCAGGAAATTCGGTACTGCACCGTGCAGCATGGTCTTGTTGGTTGGTTTCCAATTTTCGCCTACGCGGCATCCTGCTTCTTGCAACCAGAGAATCCGAAGCCCCATGTTCGGGGGTTCCATGTTTGGGCCGAACCAAGCCGATGAAAATCCGGGGGGGGGGGCTTGGGGCGTTCGGGGAAACTGGTTGGCCCATGTTGGGGTTGGACATGCCGTTGCTCACGGGGTAACGCAGGGAAGACGTTGTTCTTGGGCCTTAGGGGAAGCTTTCATTTCCATTCTTTCCAGGGATCCCCAAAAGCCAGAGAGAACAAAAAAAAAACACGCCAAAGCACCATCCAGGGATCAACAAACCAGGAGAAACACAACTTGAGAACAAACAATGAAATAAACACGTTTTGCTGCTTATGTAAAACCAGATGGTTGAATAAACACATGTTTTTTTTTTTTTAATGAACCCCCTAAACCTACCTCCTCCTTCGCTCGTTTCGGGGAGGTGAACACCTTCTTCATGATGCTCTTCAGCGGCTTCATGTCCGTGACCTTCGGCGCATGTCTGCCTTGCCTCATGGTGGCCGAGGCGCGCGGGCCGGGGCCGGACTGTGCGGGAAGTGGCGCCTCGGATGTGTTTGGGTCGGCGGGCCGCCGAGGCAGGGGAAAGCACCATTTTTTTCTCGCGGGGCGAGGAATGGCCCGAATTGTTTGGGTGAGGTTCCGGGATCTGCGAATTTTGCATGGGAGTCAGAAGAACTTGTTCATGGCAAAAACGATCGCAACTTTCGATCCAGGTTGTTAGTCGCTCCCCCATCCATGGCTCTGAGCCAGCATCGGAGGTTTTTTGGGGATGTTCCCAGTCGCAGTCCTGCAGGTCACGTGGCTGTACTTCCTGCATGTCGCCTGGCTGCAGCTGCTGCTCACGGAAGCCACGATGGTTTCAGAAGGTTAGCTCAAGAGTACGTACCCCCTACTCAAAATAGCCGCTTTTTTCAGGGCATTTCTTGGAAAACCTGGTTTTCCATGGTGGGTACATCTTTTTTTGGCAGAGTGGACATGATACCCTGAAAAACGAGGATATTTGGAGGTTACGGGGGTATGGGGGAGAGAGAGAGGGAGAGAAGCTGGGCCGCGGGGTTCCACTTTTTGACTACCCCAAGATAAGCTTGAACAGAGGGGGTTGTTCTTTTTTTTGGGCAAGTTCAGTCTACCCAGTAGTCACTACTCCCTCGAACAGCTACCAAAAACGGCATCCCCATATGGCTTGCGGGCCCTTTGCCGCATCAGAAATGCTCCGAAGTTCCAAAGGGGCTCGCTTCGCGACCGAAGGCAGCCAAGGACAACATGAGCCTGCAGGCGAACTTTGTGCAAGCCTTCGTCATCGGGGAGATGCTGGCGCGGTTGCCCAAAGATCGGGTGTTTTTATTTGTTCAAACCATAATTAGCTTCAGTGATCAGGATGCATTTGAAAGAAGCCTACCTGGACCCTCAAACCAACCGTACAAATTGGTTCTTGCCCACAATTATGGGCCTTAACATGCCTTAACGGAGTGTTGTTTTTGGAGTTGGTAGCCCTTGCCTGGTGGGTTTTCAAGGGACACCACAAAGGCAGGTACCCCGTTTTGTGTGGTTTTCAAGTGCAACCACCTAGATAGTGCGTTTTGTTCAGTCACTGTTGCTGGCTTTTGGGGTAAAGTTCATGGAACAAAGCGATCGCAACTGGCGATCCAGACAGAAGCAAAAATATATGTTTTTTTTGCCTTCCGGGGTGTCCAGCCCGGGGTCCACGCAGCGTCCATGGGATCGATCCTCCTCAGAAAAGATCGGCTAGGTGAAGATAAACATGCATATTGTGGGTGGACAAATTCCATTTCGCGCCACCTAAGAATCCCCGGTATGATGTGGTTCCCTGTAAATACGAAGGAGCAAGGGTTTCCCATGGTTTCCAAATGGTGCAGGATTTCGTCGAAACACACCGTGGATCCTCAAACCCAAGGGTTATTGCCCGCGACATGCGGGGAAATCCTTGTGTTTTGGGTAGTTCTTTAGTGCTGAAGTTTGGCCAAGCAAAATGCAACACATCCCGCAAAAAGTTGCTGAAACACAGAGACATGGAGGCACCAGGGGGGGTGCATAGATGTATAATTCTATATATATATATATACATAGGCATATATATCTACTGCCTGTGTGCTTCCCATCCGACGCTTACGCTGGTCTCGGAAGTTTTGCTAGTTGTCAACTGACCCCGTTGGACGAAACCTGCTTAAACAACAAGGCCCTCACCACCTTCAAAAGGGATTCAACAGAATGATGTGCTATACTATCATGTTTTAGCATGTTGAAGGGGCCAACCTAAGCAGGGCTCCTTTTAAGATACATTTTGCAACCAATTGAAACATGGCTTTCTCAACACCAAAATAAATAAAGGGAAACCACCATTTACAAGGCAATGTTCAGGTGTATGTAAGGATTTTTGCTAACGGAACTCTGAGGTCGTTCCTTGCAAGAAAGTTTCGGAAGCTTCTGACGTTTCATAGAACCGTTCATAGAAGCTTGGTGGCCCGTTTTGTTTTTAGTAAGGTTTTTTTTTCCTCGCGGGTGGGGGGCAGCCCTAGATTCCCTTCAACACAACTCAACAACAAGAGACGCCCAAAGTTGAGGGGGTCCGTTCTTAGAACTCAAGCCCTGAAAGGGGACCAACGAGTTGAAGTTGGCAACACCAGCCATGTTCATGGGTATTTTTGGCGGACCCTCGAACTGCCGCAAAAAGATGGCCATCGCCCCATGGATTTTGGGGCAGTGGCCCGGGTTTTAAGGGTATTTTGCGGATCCAGGCGGGTTGAAGCCTACAATTGGAGTTGACAATGCCAACCGCGTGCATGGGAAGCTTAAGGACTCACTGCCCGAGTTCCGGACTTGAGTCGCTTAGGCTTGGATCATCTTAAAAAAGGCGTTTGGAACCTCAAACCACCCAAGGGAATTCACCAATCCGAATTTTGGCTGGCAACAACTTATGTTCACGAAGACCAGTCTACTACTTCCATTTGCTGAATATGCTATAGTTTTTCCTGTTAAGTTTGAAGCAGGGTTGTGGGATCAAGGGGTTTTCTCCCAACTTCTGTGATACAAGAAAATGTCCCTTTATACTAACAAACTAGTCTTTGGGGAGCCCTTTCTGTGGTATCACAGAAGTGGTCATTCCCCACAGCCCTGGTTTGAAGGGCATCCATCCCTATTGGACATAATCTTTGATTCGACCATTTGCTGAACAGTTTAACCAAACCTTTGGCCCATCCACTTGATCGCTATTGGACAGACTCAGTTGCCCAAAGCGAATCGACCTTTCAACCTTTTGGTTTTCCAATTTCAGCCTATCTTTAGGCCCCAAAAGGTGATCGCCTTTTATTTCTGGGTCCTTTGGGCGACTGAGCAAATCCATGTTGTGTTTTGTGCCCCATGCCTTTGTCTTCCAAGGACCTGCAAAAAAGGGCTCCTTCTTGATTTTGCTCTTGGGCTCACATGGAAAGAGTCTGACTTTTCCGGGTCCGATTCGGAAGATCAAGACATGGGGCTGAATTCAGCCGGGCAAGCCGGGACCAAATGAGCCACGTGCTCAAGACCGATTCGGGTAGATGGAACGTTAAGCTAGGGCTGCCTTCCATGTCCATTCCTTCCAGGGATCCGAATCTTTTCAGGCAACCATCAAACCCAGGGAAGCAGCTGGTGTTTGAAAGGAAGGATGGTTGAATTAACCCCTAAAATGAAGGGACAATTCCTTGCCATAAATGAATCGTTGCGGATATCCGCCTTGTCAAACAACTTGTTAGATTCTTGACGTGGTTCTGGGATTGCGACCATATTGATACCTGGTTTTGATTATGACCCAAATGGACTAAACAAAAAGGTGGGCAGCTCTGGTCCACGAAACAGTTGGGCAGGGGATTTGCATCTCATCTTTGTTCCATTGGGCTGAATTAAGCAACTCTGGACCAAATGGACTAAACATTTGGGCAGCCCAATGGCTGGGGACACCGGGTTTTGATTATGACTCAAATGAACTAGAATCCCGAAATGGAATCGGAGATGTGAAGCCCTTGCGAGACCATCCTCTTAAAGGGGCCCTATGGGCTAAAGCGTAAACCACTGGACCAAATGGACTAAACCGTTGGGCAGCTTTGGATTTCCATTTGGCTGTGGGTCAAAACCGTTCTGGTACCATTTTGGTTGGTAGGTGAATCCACCATCCATTTTAGAACCTATTATAGTCGGGATTGAATCGGATGTTCACTGGGGGACAACCGGGCTTTTGACCGGCCTTTTTTTTTCCCCATGGGCGAAACTCATGAATTTTCAGCCGGGCGAAAAGGGAAGGGCTCAAGCGTAAGCCACGGCCATGTGATTTCCAGGTGCCCAAGACCTTCCCAGCGCTCCTCTCGCTGCTGTGGCCCTTCATCTCCTTAAACCTCCGCCTCGCCGGGCTCGAGGCGGGTGGGGGGGTGGGCTGTGCGTGGATGGGGGGCCGTGTTTTCTTTTTGTGTGTGCGTGTGTTATTTTCTTATTATTATCTTTTTTGTTCAACCCGTTTTTGTGTTTCCCACAAACCAAAACGTAAAAATGGAGCTCAAAAAACTGGTTTGCAGTTGGAACATTCGATTCGGGCCAAAGGAACGCCTAGATCGCCAAGTTGCGTTTTCGCTTTTTTCAGCCACTGTTGCGATCGGCTTTTGGGGTAAAGCTCCTGGAAAAGAAAAAACAAGCGATCGCAACTGGCGATCCAGGCCCGGCCATTTCTCACTTCCTGAGTTGGTGGACTTTAAGCTTTTTGGAAAGACCATTTTAGTGGCAAATAAAAAGTTCAAGCTTTTTTTTTGGCCAGTCAACTTGGAAAGTGAGGCAACTGGCGATCCAGGCCCAGCCATTTTGGGGGAGTTTGGGGCGGCCCTTTGGGCGCGAAGTGGCGAATTGTGCTCGCGGTTCCGCCGAGATCGCGGAGCTGTGGAGCCACCCCCACGTGGTGGACTCCCGCGCGCGGGTGCCCTGCCGCCGCGCCTGGGACGGACGGGGCGGAGTGCGGGAGAGAGGCTCCCAGTACCGCGATTCTTGGGGCTATAGGTGCCGCAGCTAAGTGCCCTGTTGCTTTTCTTTTTGGGGGGGGAGAGGGTCCCACTACTAAAGTGCGCTTTTGCTTTTCTTTTCTTTTTTGTTGGAGAGGGTCCCCCTACTAAAATACCTTGTTGCCCCTTTTTTTCTTTTTGGGAGAGGGTCCCCCACTACTAAGATAGACTAGGGAGAAAAGCTGGTATTCCCTTATCCTCTCAAGTCTGGAGGACCTGGTCAGGGAGTGGGAGAGCATTTTGAGGCCCGTGCTTGGACCAGCGCAAATATCCCCGGCTCCCAATTGATGTGCCTTCAAACAACCTGGTTTTGAGACCCACCAATTCTGGGGTCGGCTGTTTCACATCCCCGGCTCCAATTCAACTGATTCAGGGCCTCACCTGGTTTTGAGAGCTTCTCTCCAACATCCCCTTGACATTTGGACCCCACTTTTTTTTTGGGACACTGGCGGGAATTGGCCCGGGCTTTGCAAAAAAATAATCCAAAGGTGAGGACATCCTTTTGGGCCAGGATCCGTTCAAGAGCTATGACTTACGGGGAAGGGAACCTTGAGCTGCAGAAAGCCCAAGAAATGGATCTGTGTTTTGGTGTTGGCCTCCCCTCAGCTACCAACGCCTGAAGCTTTGGCAGAGATGGGCCCATGCTCAAAGCTGATACGATTTGAAACCTCCGAAATCGGACTTTTGCCAGGGGGCAACGTGAGTTTTTTTTCAGGTTGAACCTTATTTGAGTTGTCTGTTTCTTTTTCCTAGACCCTTAAACTACCCGTAAAAGACGGGAACTCACTGACCATCATTTTGGGGCCAGAACTGGCAACAACCCATCTTTAAGGGTACCCCTTACTCCAAATACCCGTTTCTTTTAGTTTAGACTTAATTTTAATTGCAAATATTGTTGCCCCGCATGAATTAACCTTTGTTTATTGCTAGGGGGTGTCCCTGGGTTAAAGGAGCTGCAAGCTTTTTACAGTACACGGTTGCATTTGTTAAACATGTTTGATTATTTCCCCCCTACTCCAAATACCCGCTGTTTTTCAGGGTGTGATGTCGACCCTTTACTAACAAAATGAGGTAATTTACCGTGGAAAACCAGGTTTTCCCAACAACTCCTTTAAAACAGCGGGTATGGGGAGTAGGGGTCCCCTCCCCGTGCATGGGGCGCTTCTGAAAAAATGGGGATGCCTCAAAAACTGGTTTCCCGAAACTTAACCAGCCAACAAGGGTCCTCAATTTTGAGAAGCCCCCGCATGTGTAATGTAGGGGGGGCGAACAAATTACCAAAAGCATACTCACTTCAAAAAAACTCACCATCCTAATCATTTTCTAACTTGTGCGTTGTTTTGAGAGTGGGCGGGGTGGTGCTTGAAATTATCTACCAAACATGGGAACCAAGCTTAGGCCCCTATCTTACCCTCTTTGCTTTTGCTTGGAGAGGAAAGAAACTATTGAAATCATCTAGCCTACTGCCATTTGCGCAATAATATTTGTTTTTCCCTTCTCTTACCCCCTTAAAACTCCAAGCCCTGGGGAAGTTAATCTTTTACAGACCTTTAGCCCATGTTACCCAAAAAGTTGAAAAGTTGTGTTTTTAAGAGGTAAGTTCTTGGTTTTAAACGCGAGTCTATCGCTACTGGAAGTCTTCGATTTCTTCAGGGGGGCTCCGATTCAATGGTTCCCTGAGGAATGGGTCCGGGCTGTTTTTCGTATCCAGCCTGCGTTGGCGACTTGAAATGAGAAACTTAGGGTACCTGGGCCTCCCTTTCTTGACTGCTATTGGGCAGGGGATCTTTAGACTTTAACTTTTTGGTTGAAACCAAGTTGGGTTTTCCACTAAACTCCCAAAAAAATAAACTTTTTGAAGGGGGGTCAACAGCAACCAAGCTTTCAACATCGGATGACTAAATCAAAGATGAACTCATGACCCTGGACACTCACACTAGCCTGTAAAGTGGGTTGTTGCTCAGAATTATGGGTAGTGAATTCCCCCTTTTTTTATGTGTACTTTGAGGGTCCACATTATTTTTGAACGCGTGGAGACTCCAGATGGGTGCCGATGCTTGTGGGCTCATGATTTGGACCGTCCTTTTTGTGCAGGGGGGGAGGGTTAAGCCTGAAACTGGTTGGTCGCTTCCTCTTTTAGCTACCACAGAAACGGGTGACTTTGAACGTAAAATGATCATACCGCCTTTTGTTACAAAGGGTTGACATACGCTATCAACAGCTGGGGTACTTGGACGTAGTGGTTCGCCTGGTGAAATTCTCACTGACCGGAGGCTTATAACCATGGCTTTGTGGGTTAGAACCATGGAACAAATCCACTTCCTAAGTACCCCGCCCCTTTAAGACGGGTTCTTTAGGGTTCCCTAGAAGTCCGTAGGCTTCCTTAGGCACACCCCGCAACTGCTTTTGCAACCATGTCCAAAGTCCGCCTGGTGCGGTAACCAAAAAACAAGTCCGGGGGGTACTTGGAGGGGGCGATTCCTTTTTGTTTTTTTTCGCCAGCCAAGTGAGTCACAAAGTCGAAATCAATCCTACCCCCTACTCCAAACACTTTTTTTTTCAGGGCATCATGTCGACCCTCTACTAAAAAGGAGGTATTTATCATGGAAAACCAGGTTTTCCAAAAAAAATGCCAACTGAAAAAAGCGGGTATTTTGAGTAGGGGGTATGCAAAGATTTTTGCACACATCGTCGGCACCCATTTATGGTTGGAACTCTCCCTTACCTTCTACGCGCATCGGTTTTCTGAAGCTTGATCTCAGGTTTGTACGTGGCCTTGTTCGTAGCCATCGGCGCAACGGCGGGCCGAATGATTTCCCGAAAGTCGTCCGCGTCGATTTTTGGCTCGCGTCGATGGAAAGGATTTTTCGCCAGAGGGTCCAAGTGCCTTCTAAGGAGGTACCCCCTTTTACCCCCCAATCCTCATTTTGGGTTCACTGGATGAAAGAAAATTGGATTGGCTCCATTTTGACTCACTTCCGAGCTCCGTTTCGGACTTTAATCACTTTTGCCGGGGGTTGGACCATCTTGTAAACAAAGAGTTGCTGGACTTTTGTTGGGTCATCTACTCAGGAACGAAGTTGAACGGAGCAGTGCAACTTGGAGCTGGTATCCAAGTTTGCTCAAAGAAAAACGTTTCGAAGCCGGAATGCAGTTCTGGTTAGAGACATCGGTAGGGCTTGGAAAATCTGTGGACGTTTATTGTTTGACTAGCCCCCTTTGCAACCAAGACCACTCAGGGGTGAGTGTATGGGTTCAAGTGGGAGTGTCTCTTTTTTTGTGGTGGGAGCCTAAAGGAACTCACTTTTTTTTTTGCCTCAGAGACCTGGTTAAACCTTGGAACCACACCGAAAACAACCACCATCATTTTAAGGGTGGTTTCAGGCACCTGGACCCTCAAACTACCCTCAAACATGGGGCATTGCAACCCAACATTCTGGAGTAACCTATTTTTAAGGGTACCTTGGGTCCAGGTAAACCTTTTTGGTTGGTTATAAAGGGAGGCCTACCACTCTAGGAGTACCTTCCCCATTCTTTCCAGGGATCCTTCTTTCTAGAACACCTCCAGAATCCCAGGTGAAACATGGTGAAACGGCGATCGGTTTTTTAAAAGAACGATGGTTGAAAAGAATGGAATAGGAATCAAGCCCTACCTGGATAGCCAGTTGCTGTTTCTTTTTCCATGCACTTTACCCCAAAAAACAGCAACAGTGACTGAAACAAGCAATCGCAACTTGGCTATCTAGGTTGTTTCCTTGAAATCCCACCCAAGCAATGGGGTACCACTTTTTGGTGGGTTTTAAAGGGACGCCACAAGGACAACCACCACGTTGGGGGGTGCGAATCGCAAAAAGAGATACCGAGATACCACACTTACACACACACACACACCTCCTCGTGGACCTCAGTTGTTCAAAACCGACCTTTTGACCTTTTGGTTTTCCCTTGGTCTTTTTTTTAGTAGAGGTCCCAAAAGGTGATCACCTTTTTATAAACAGGTCCTTTGGGCAACTGAGGGGCCGTCCGCCCATCCGCCCGATCCGATCCGATCCGGGCGAGCGAGGCCTTCCTACTGGGCATCACCGCCATCGACCGCTCCCCGTGCGCCAAGAAGCCCTGGCGCGCCTCGAAAGCAAAGCGAAGGTAACGGACTCCAGAGGTGTCCTTTGTACGGCTGTTTTGCTCGAAACAGGGGAAGTACCAGGGGGAATCCGTATCCGGAATCGGTTGCTTAGGAGGATTTCGTCCATCCGCAGTAGGTGTCCTTTTTGGTTCTGCTCGAAACATCGATGGGTTTCGATCCCTGGCTTAGCTGGTTTCATCTACCAGGGGAACCCATCGATTTTCCCCTACACCTAAAGGACACCCAGCTGGACCCGGAGTCCTAGAGCTTCCATTTGGTGAAGAATACCCCCTCCACATACCAATTTTTTTCAGGGTATCATGTCGACCCTCCACTAAAAAATATTTACCTTGGAAAACCGATCGGTTTTCCCAAAAATACCAGCTGAAAAAAGCGGGTATTTGGAGTAGGGGGTATGTTTGTTATTTTCCCCTGTTCATTTTAAAGGGAATCTATCACTACTGGAAACCTTTTTGCTTTTCCCAGAAACCTTAAGCAAATCGTGGGTTTCTTCGGGCCCAGGTGTCCCTATTCAGAAAATGGGGGTCGCCTGGCTCCAGCTGCTTTTGCTTTGGCTCTGTCCACGGGCTGCAGCCAGATGTCCGACTCCGGATCCGCGGCGGCGTTTCAACCAGGGAAAACCATGGAGAGCTGCCGGAAGGAGGGCCAGCCCTTACTTTTAAAGCATTCGCAAGGAAACACGTGTTTGCCCACTTGCATGTTGGAATGAATTCGATTTCCGGATTTGATGCTTCAAGCTCGAGAGTTCGGAAAAGAAGTTGGGACCTTGGTCGCACGGTTTGCTTTTCAACGGGATGTATCGCGCGTCTTACCCAGCAGGCTAGAACAATGCCGGTTTAATTCTTCCCAGGCAAGGCAGTATCTGGAATCAGGCGTTTTGGCAACAGTGAACAGGTACCCACTGTCACTGTAGGAGATGCCCATTAAAAGGGTCCTCACCGGGCCCTCAAAAATGGTTGAATCGGGAGGGGAACGGCTGGAGATCTTCATTGGTGGGCAACCCATTTTGGCCTTGGCCCCTTACCCCCTAAGGTACGGGGGCTTGCAATCCAAGCATATGGTTGGTGCATTTCCCCACGTTGTTTTCGAATCCCAGGTCGTATTTCCCCAACCCCACGCCATCCCACAGCTTTTCGGGCCCCCCCCACAGCCCCCCACAGCCCCTCTAGGAGCCTCCTGTCGAGTCTTCAGTTTCGATCTCTTCGCCTGGAGCTGTGGTTGCATCTACTACATGGAGACCGTCTCCGGAGCCCTGGAGCGTTTCATGACTTTTTTTTTGGGGGGGGGGGGAGTTTGCGACACGAGATCCTTGCCGTTTTTTTTCTTCTTTTTTTTATGTGTGACGTTCTTGCTTCAAAAGTGCCACACACGCACACGCACACACACACACACCCATTCTAGTTGTTTATAGTTCCTTCCCTTAGTCTTCATGATTCACACGGGATCAGAAGGCCTCCGGGCTCCGAACGACGGATCTCCAAGGGAAGCTCACTAAAACGAATCGGCAGATCGATCGGACCGGATCCGGTTTTTCCATTTTTGGCTTTTTTTTTGGTCATAGCCACTGAGCCACAGAGGGCTAGCCTACTTCCGGGTCCTGGCAACTGAGAATGGGCAGATTGATCACCCCTACTCCAAACACCCGCTTGTTCTTGAGTCGTGTCAAGACTCCACTAAAAACGGGGGTATGTTCCCTGAACAAAGGCGGGTATTCGGAGTAGGGTATACACAAAAAAAAGGTTTTGCAAACTTCGAGGGGCCCGTCACTCTTTAAGACCTGAGAGACTCCCACGAATTTGGATAACGCTCGAACACGTCAAAGGGTCCCAGAAAAAAGTACGAACACGCTTGCTAGGTGGTTGGAAGCGAGCCAAGGAGCCGGAAGTAGCCATTTGCTTTTTGTGAGAAGGAGCCGGACTCGGAGCTACCGATTGGAGTTCTGGAAGGACATGGTAGCCTGTCCCAAAACAAAAAATATCTGACCTTTGGTCCATGTGACTCCAAAAGGTTGACCGCTTGGAGGGACCCTACGTTTGGGTTCCAAGGCTTTTGTTTCAGCCCCCCTTCGGTTTGAAGGAAAGAAGTCAAAATGATCAATCCATCAATCCCGGCCTATGGGTCGAAATCCTTTCCTGTCTCACTCCCTGAGTTCATAGGCTGGTCCCATTTTGTGGGGAACACCATTTTAGTGGTAAACATCAAGTTCACACGTTTCTGGCTGATCCACTCAGGAACTGAGCCGTTCACTGATCAACTCCTTCATCCGAACGAACGGGTCATCGGTTGCTGGGGTCTTGCGATGAAGCCCTTTCACTCGAGGAGAGCACCTGGAATGCGATAGCTTCGAGACAGTGCAGGCGGGGTCACAGCAACGTCAGGGACCACTTTGCCCACTCAGTTGCCTGAAGGGAATGGACCTGACTGTTTGGGTTTTCCATTTGGACCTATTTTGAGGCAAAAGTTCAACCTCTTAACCCCTTTTCCTTCCTGTTTGATTGGTTTCCCGTTTTGAATGGTCACCCACTCAAAGGCTTTCAAAGCTTTTCTGGCAGAGTCTATCGGAAACTGGCGCAGTTCTGCCTTCGGCCGAACCCGCTGTTTTTTGTTGTTGTTGTTGTATGGCGTGACTCTGTTTTGTTTCTAATGGGTAGTTTGTTTCTAATGGGTAGTTTGAGGGTCCAGGTATGGCGTCCGGCCTTATTAATTGAAGTTAACCCCACTCCAAATGCCATCTTGTTTTAGGGTATCCTCACACAAAATGAGGTATTTACTCATGGAAAGCCATGCTTTTTCTCAACAAATGCCCTGCCAAACTTGGTGGCTCCCAGTCATCCCCTTAGCTTTTCAGCCTTTTAGTGTTTAGTGGTTGGATTTCCAAATTTAAGCCGCTAAAAGTGAGTCACATTTAGCGGGGGATCTGAAAACGGGCAGCCCAGCAAAAGCGGTGAACAGGCGGAGGAGCGGGGGTTGCCCGAGTCCGGCCAGGCCATGCTGCGTGACTCAAAGGGCTTGCGGGTCTTCGTCATGCAAGGCTGCGCCTCTTGGCTGCAGATTTTTTTGGGTTGGGAGGGTTCCCCTGCTAAAATAGACTACAGAAAAAAAAGGTGCCCTTATTCTAACCTCTCTACTGGAGGACCTTTTTGCCACCTTCTGTGAAAAAAATATCGTTCCCTCATTTCCTGGGAGTTTCCATTCACCCACTCAAAGTCGAAAAGGGTAACTACCCTCAAAGCAACACACTCCAAACCACACCTCCGATTTTTCCTAATCTCTGCCCTTCCCGCCCGCTCCCTTCTGTAGGTCACCGTTGATCCGACTCAGAGGGCTCTTTCTGGCCCGAAACTCTGGCTGCATTTTAGAGCATTCCAGAGCCCGGACCCGCAATAATTACCCCAAACAGTAGTTCAACTTTTCGGGTAGTTGGCCAAGTTCAGAATAGCTGAAGTTTCACCCACCGTAATTTGGGTTGGCAATCACCCATTTGAGGGTAGTTTGAGAGTCCAGGTACCGATCCCTTTCCAGCCCAGGGGTGGCGTTGTCATGATCGAGCAACAAGGCGTTGGTAGGATCCAGTTTTTTTCGACATCTGAAGATCAGAATTTCGGTGCCCATGAACCAAGCTTCGCCTTTGGAGGGCTCAGGCGAAACATGTGCCGGGGGAGGTGTTGGCGGATAATATGGATCGTGGCGACTCTGGCGGGGCGTTCCCCGGCGAATTCGGCATGTCGCTGATGGGTGTGTGTCAGAAATAGTTGCTTGGACCCTCAATTTATCCCTCTATAAAGGGCACTACCCCGTCACTATCTCACATATTTTGTGATTTTCCGCTGTGGGTTTTGTTCGGGGAATCATGGGAATCGACTTCACTCTTGGACAAATATTGTTTTTCTATTGTGTTTTTTTGGCCTTTGTACCCCTTTTTTTGGGTCAAAGGTAGAAACAAGGGGTCCTGTGTGGGTCCAGGTACCTTCTCACCTTTTGTTTTTCCAATTTTTGTCTATCTTTGGTAAAGGCCCCAAAAGGTGATCACCGTTTAACATATTTAGGGCATCCGATGCACAGGATTCAGCAAGACCTCGCGGGTAAAAACCTTTATCTCAGTATCTCGGCCTTGCGCCCCAAATTTCGCGGGTCCATTTGCTTCAGATCTGGGGTTCGATGGCAAATGCCTCCTTTCGTCAGGGGTTCACATGATAAACAGAGCGTGTGTTTGAAGTCGGGTGGTTTTCCTGCACCCCCAAACCACCCAAACACCTGGTCCCTAAAATTATGGTGGCCGAGGTTTTTGTTCTTCTCTTTTTTTTCCCTGGTTCTAGCCAATTTGAACCCACCTCCAACCCCCCAAATTCCCAGCGACCCGAGAGCTCAAACCATCTATGGCTTTCCTTCAAAAATCCCCAGGTCATTCCATCTCAAATCTTTCCCTGCCTACCTAGAGTCTCCTTCTGACCCTTAAAAAGTGTTTGGTCATGACCCAAAATTACGGGGTCATGGACCCCTTTTTTGATTCGGGTCAGAAGGAGACTCGAGGTACCCGCAAGTGTCCCCTCGCCCGCGGAATCGCCCGCCCATCTTCTTGCGGCCGAAAAAATGCTCCTGGGAGGCTCCCGGGGCCGAATCCAAACTCGATCCCGCCTTCCGTTTGCGTAAGAATAGGTTGCTTTTGTGTCTTTCCCTTGTTGGTCTTAAAAGGAATTTTAGCTACTGGAGTTTTTGTTGTACTTGTATTTTTGTCCGGGGGTCTTAACCAAATAGAAGCCGCGTGGAGCGGGAAGTTCTTCTGAGGAGAAGCTGAGCGCGCTACCCAGCTTCGAGCAGAACTTGGACCTGGAGTTCCTCGTGGTGTCCCGCTTCTTCGGCTGGGATTGCCTTAGATGGCCTGGATGTCCTTATTTGTTGAGGGTCTCCGTGTTTTTTTTGTTTTGGGGGGGTTTGCTTTGGCCTTGATGTCCTTTTTTTTAGGTTCTCAGCTCTTTTTTTTTTTGGGGGGGGGGTTGCTTTACAGGGAAACCACACTGAAGACGCCTGCCTGTTCTTGGGGGATGTCCCCGTGTTTGGGTGATTTTTACGGGGGTTCCAGAAGGAAGACAGTCGAATTTGTTGGGCTTTAAAGGAAACCACAAGGGACAAGCTCTTTTTGGGGGTGTCCCCAAAAAAAATGACACCCAAACACTCACTGGCCCCACCGACCTTCTGAGCTTGTGCTTTGTCCCCCTTCGGTCTAGTTGTTCACTGTTGCTGGCATTTTGTTGTTAAATGGTTTTGGGGTTCGATTTGTTCATTTCTAGCAATTCGGGGGGGCTGCAACAGCCATGGGCTGTAAAGTTTCTAGTTCAGGTTCCAAAAGGTTACCTTGTGTTTCCAGGCCCGTGGGTCAAGCGAGAATACCTGGCTGAGATGTTCACCTAGGCCAACCCGGCAGGTATTTGCAGGGGGAAACCCGATGTTCGAAACATACTTGCTTGGTAAAGCTGGTGTTTCCGGGACAGTTTCTCCGACCCAACTACAAGCCCAGTGGTGCCTTGCTTCCTTTTGTTGAGGGGGGAACCTTTCAAAGGCGAGTAAAAACGAAGGCCCTTTGAGCCCATGGCCACTGGGGCTTAGGAGGCACGATTCTTGAAAGCACGTATGAAAACAAAAGCGTAAATCCTTTGAGACCCATACAGCAGGGTTCCGCAAACGAATTATAGATTAACCCTAAGAAACCTAAACTTACTCCCTGAGTTCCTGGACTTTAAGCTTTTTGGCAGACAACTTGAGTAACAAACGAACAGTTTGGTTACTCTTTCTGGCCAATCTACTCTGGAAATGAGACAACCTCAACCCCAAGAAACCCGAAGAATCCCAACAAATCCAAAATCAACCCTGGGGTGTCCGAGAAAATCGCCCCCTTGAACCTACCAGAGGCAACAACCTCTCAACGCTGCCTTCACTGTCACGCCATTGGCGGCTCCAGCAGATCATCGCCGGGCAGAACATGCGCCACAGCAGTCAAAGAGAGAGGGATGGATCTCTCCACGTCCTCTGGGCCTTTACTTTCATTTGCTTAAGATTTCTGTTTGTTTTCCCTTTGGTTGGGTGTAGCGGGAAGGGGCACCCAAGTGTGGTGGTTTCCCTTAGATTCCAAGGGGGAGGGCTTCCCGAAACAATCAGGAACCCGAAATGGGCTCGCAACCGCCCATGGAACAAAACCCGCAGGAATTCCAGACCTGGGTGCGGGTCAAAACTCAACCAGGCGACCGCAGCTTTTATTCCTGGGTTCCATTTGCCAGGGGATTCATTTTGAGCACCCGTTTTTGACCCGCGGCTACATGGGTGAAAGAGACGGTGAATATTGCCAGCAAGGTAACTTCAGAGCAATGCCCCCGAGCATTCCGAGCCACTCGTAATGCGGCAGGGGGCATCCACCGCAATTGAATCCACTTTTGGCAAAGCACCTGAACTCAAAAACAAAATCCGAGGGTTCCCACAACTACCTGGACCCTGAAAGGATTTCTGCCTTTGTACCCCCTTTTTTTGGGTCAAAGGCAGAAAAAACATGTTTTTTTTGGGGGGGGGGTCCAGGTGCATTTGAGGCTTCTTTCCCTCTCAATCATCACCAGAACAGGGTTTGCATTTGCCACTGAAATGAACTTCCTCTGTTGAAGAGGGGTTCTACACTACCCGGGGGGCTGCTTATCTATTCCACTAGAAACCCTGCACCATAAAGAGACAATGTGGGAATTTAAGGATGTCACTTTGGCCCAACGGCGGCTAAGACGGCTTTCATACGACCTCAAAATACCAATTTGTCTAGACCACGGAAACACACAGAAACTCACTCAGACAACATCGCTACTGGTGCTCAAGACCCCCCCAATTTTTCCGGGCGCAGCTGTCTGCTGGCAGCCTTGGAATGCAACATGATAGAGGGAGATCCCAGATTTCTACGTCCAACGCGAGCATGAGGGTTCTCAAAACTTTTGAGGGGTTCCCTTTAATGTTGGGGAGTGATTCATAAAGGCCCCCCGGTCAATAGCGAGAACCCCCAAAAACAAAATGGGGGTCAGACTAGGACCTGCCTGAGTAGTCTTCCAGTGAGTATTGTTTAGAATTGGTTTAGTATTGGTTTAGTATTCCTTTGAGCTGGCTCACTACGGTTTAGAATTGGTTTAGTATTAGTTCAGTATTCTGTTCAGTTGACTCACTACAGTTTAGAATTGGTTTAGTATTGGTTCTTCTTCTTGGCAGCCCTGGCCTTTTTTTTTTCACAATTCCCTACTCTTAAACAAACTACATTATTGCCTTCCTGGGAGTTCCGTGTGCCACCCCCCTTGAAAATTTGTCAGGGTGCATCTTCTAGTAAAGGGATTGAAAAGGAATTTGGTGGTTTGGGACAGGAAGCAATCCAGAAATTCTGGACATTTCTGGCTGGACTCAAGACTTTTCAACCCTCAGAAATACTCCATTAAGGGAAGGGGACATATTTTCGGGATTTCGGGCAGATGTTGTTTCTGTAATACCTACCCTTTTTGCTTTCAGGAGAGTGAATAATTTTGAGATGTTTTTTCTGTATTCACTCCCGTTTTATTAATCGCTATCTAACATTAACCGAGAAAGAGGGAGCATGTTTGATTCCCTTTGGGTCCCCCTGACGGCTGACCTTTAGAGAAGCTCGATTTTCTGGTTGATTTTAAGGGGTGTCCCCCTCCAAACATACTGTGGAAGGACGAAATTCGTTCCGCACCACCTAAGAAACCTTGGAACGAATTGTGTCGCCTGAAAATACCACCAAACAACGGGTTTCAACCATGCTTCCCTTTTGTGGTGCGAAATGGGTTTCGCAGCCATCCACAGTATGCCCAGGTGGAAATGTATAACAGCAACCCCCCAAAAAAATGAACAAGGAGCTCCGGAACCCTCCCTAGAGTTGACTTCCGGCTGGAAAAAGCTGAAAGCCCCTGAGTCATCATCAAAGCCTGAGTCATATTTAAAACCCAAAACCATGTAAAGACCCAAAGAGGCGGATTACTATCCGCATCATCTACCCGGGTTTTGAGGACGTGGCTCCCCGGATTCTTAGGGTCTCTGGAGCTGGCCGGAGTTCCAAAGTTTCAATCAACTGGTTCACGCACACGGTCCATTGGTATGAGCCTGGAAACAATTGGATCAAATCCAGTAGTGAAATCGATTCCCTTTGAAAGCAACAGGGGAACAGAACAAATGTTCTGAAACGCGAATGAAAGAAATGAAGCTGGGCCCTGCTAAAAGTTTTGAACTTTTGGTGGGTTGAATTCGGAAGCCCACCCACTAGACCAACTAAAAAGCTAAAAAGTTGAGGAACCGGACTGCTGGGAGCCACCAAGAAAGGGACTTCATGTGTGCCAGGGCCAAAAGACCCCTTTCCTTGGGGTTAACGTTGGGATGGTCGTTCACCTGGCAAGGATCCTCAACCACTAGAACAATTCTTGAGGGAACCATGACGGCAATCGGCCGGAGTTTCGAAGTTTTGACCATGGTGCATGCCCGCTTTTTGAAGGACCGGCGTTTCCCCCCGAAAAAAATACTGCTCCCTTTTTTCACTCAGGGTTTGCCATCATACCCTACCATACCACCTGAGAAAAAATGGGTATTGGGTGTAGCGGGTACGAGCAACACTTACTAAAACTCAGTCGAGCAAAGCGAATCGACCTTTTGACCTTGTTTCTCCATTTTGGGTTCCCATTTTGACCGGCCCCAAAAGGTCAACCAACACAATACCAATCATACTTCCCCTAAAGGGTGGACTAACGTTCCTCTGCGCATCTGGGCCCGAACTGGGAAGCTGATCCAACAAAAACCTAGGAGTTTTCATTGGAGGGCCCGCGGAACGGATGTCGAGAGAGGCTCCGGTCGCTGCCAGAGCTGCACGGCAACACGGAGCTGGTAGAACTGGAGGCCATTTCCGCCGTGCGCGGGCATGCTGCGCGGTTACAAACGGCCGGGTTCTTGGCCCGGGTTTTTTTGGGAGACCCATAGGCCAACCTGGTTCTTGACCCATGAGCCCTGAAAAAAATGGAGGTGGAACATTTGGTTTGTTGGGTTCGAACAGGGTCGCCGCATAAAAACGGTTGATTGGGGCTGGGGGGAGAAACCGACCCATATGGGGATCCCCATGGATCCAGAAAAGAATGCTAGGGCAACTTGTGGTGCTAAGGGGCGAAGCCGCGAAGTACTTGGGCATGAAGGGCCAAGTTAGTAAGTTGCAAGGGAAAACCTAGGCTACAACCCACTGATGGACCCCCTCCCATTCCGTGGGATTAACCTCGTTGAGGGTTAGAAACCAACCTTGGCAACGAACATCCCAAAATTGGGGGAGGGGGGATTTCGACCTCTCGAGATCTCGAATGATGAGTGACTAATGATCATGGGGGCTGGGGGGGAGGGAGGGGGAGGGGGGAGGGAGCTAATAAGGGCTTAATAGGGGCTTATTTGGGCTCCCCCCTCCCTCCCTGCCCCCCTCCCCTCCCTGCCCCCCAGCCCTCATGAAAGGAGTTGGACCCCTCCTCCCTCTTAAGGTAAAGGAATTGCAACGCATTTGCGTGGAAGGGACACTGCGTGGAAACTTGGGCAAGTGACACAAGGATCTTCACTTGGGTGATACTGAAATTCGGCGTTCTCTTGTAGTTGGTTGAGTTGAGTGATTTATTTAGACATTCCAATCGCTGCCTGGATGTTCGATTCGCCAAGTTAGCGCGACTTATAAGTCGGCTATAATCTAGCTTCCCCAGAACTTACTAGCTTGGCCGAACACCCCAGAAGGCATTTGACTCAACCTCATAGGCATTTTACTCCCCATTCCAAATGCCCGCTGTTTGAGGGTATCATGTCATCCCTTTCTTTTTTCTTTCGGAGGTATTTACCATGGAAAGCCGGGTTGCGCAAACATACCGTGGAAAAGGCGGGTAGTATTTGGAGTAGGGGTTATGACCACCTGGACCACTGATATTGGTTGCGTTTTCACTGCACAGCTGATGAGTGGATCCTGTCCTTAGGTGTTGTGCATGTGCAGACGGGCTCCAAACAATGCATTTTGGCCCACATGCCAAGGGCTAGTTGTATATTTGGTAATTTGGCTTCTAGGTTCCCTTTATGCGTGTGAATATCCTCCTACTCCAATTGCCATATCTTGAGAAACCTGGTTGAACATGGAAAGCACCTCCTTGGGGGGAAAATGATGCTAAAGCAAGTTGGTGCTGGGAGTAGGGGGGAAATACGATGCTGAAAGAACCCAGGACTCTACTCTACAAGCTTGTTGCTCATGTTCCGACCCATCGTGGAGAAACAGAGATAAGCTCGATGATTGATCGTTCCCAGAGGCCTGTTTATGGAGGTTCTGGTTGTTGCAACCATGCCAAGCCAAACGGAAGCTTCTGGCTACGCGACGTGGACTGAGAGTTTGGGGAATTCGGGATCCAGAAGCCTTGTTGCCCAAAGCGCATCGCCTGGTTTACCTCCATTTTCGCTTTGCTTTGAGTCATAGCCGTAACCATACAGACACACACACACACCAATTCAGAGCCACGTGGGCAGGAGTGATCAAACAGTCGGCGACACACTCAAAGGTGGCCGCACTCTGGCATGAGGGTATTGTCAGGCCACGCCTAGACAGCGCCACATCGGGCACAAACTGCCTCCCTTTCTTCAAAAGCTTCGCTTGTCGCGTTGGCTAGCTTGGCCTAGGTTGCTAGGTGGCGCGCAAGGGAAGAGAAAATGAGTTGCTTCTAGGCTTATAGGCTTGGTCGGAGAAGCAGTTGCTTTGCAACAGCTGTCTCCGCTCTAAAACCGAACTTCTAGCCGAGCATATGCTCCAACTTATTTGAGGGTTGTGCAGTCGGCAATGATTGCAATTTTCGTCGGAGGTGCCAGACAACAGGATTACGATGCTGCCTTCGCTGGAGGCCAACCACATGCTGACGAGGCAGGCGTGAGATAAGAGCTTTGCTTCCTTGCTTGCTTGCTGTCTGGGCGGTTCAAGTTAGAATTTGGTACGAGGGCTCAATGTTGCTCGTTCTCAGACGGAAGGCTGACCGAGGCCCCCGCGCAATTTAATCGACACCCCCCACTGCAGGCGAAGTGCTGGCAGGAGGCAAAGTTTGTATGATTAAACGCTTCCAGGTTTTTAGGAAAGAAATCTTCAGCTGTCATCATCGCAAGGGACGCCGCTTCAAGATCAAGTGTGGCTTTGGGTCAGTGTGCGGTTGTGTAAAAGCGTCTGCAAGCGGGGGTATGCCAAGACTTTTTCAAGGTGTTCCGTGAGCGAACTGCCGCGGGCCAGCTTGCAAGTGGACGCCAACATGCTTCGTCACCTACCTGACGTGAAGCATTTGCGGCACCTCGAGACGTTCAGCGCCGGCCGCGCCTCGGCCTGGCACGCGCGCACGCGCAAGCCACGGCATTGGGAGGTTTCGGCTCAGCAGGGTACCACTATCTGAGGCAGCACCCTTGCCAGGTTGAGATCTAGCCATCAGTTGCGCGTGCTGTTGTGTAGCCTGCCAGCTTGCCCCAAGAGAGCGTTGTAAGGCTTGAGTTGAACACAAGGACGGAGGCCACGCGCGCATCCAAGCATGCAGTGGCGGACAACGTGTAAGCCCCGCGAGATCTTCAAGCTTGTGTGTTTTCGACTGTGCAAAAATAGTTTGTAGGAAGGTCTAACAGAAGTCCGCCTAACAAATATATTTGCCTGGAGGTGCCGGGGGCGAAGGGTCACTTTCTGCACTGGGTGGGGAGGGTTCCGCTCCGTGCCTCATGTGGCTCAAAATTGGTTTTGTGTCGGTTTCGTGTCGTCTTAATATTGGCTTAGCATGTGGTTCAGTATTGAAACAAGAAGGTCGATAAGACTGGAGTGGTCGGCGGATTTTCATCTACCATTGGTTTAGCACCGGCTTGTCGACTTGGGGTCTTGTGAAAAATATCCAAATGAAAGGCATACATATTAGTAGGGTGAGGGTGGAATATCTTACTTTAAGGGAAGAGGCTAGGAGCAGCCAGGGGCCCAGCAGATCGTTGACTCGCCACGCTGGAGTCGGCACCAAGGAAACCTGCTAAGAGAGCTACCAGCACTGCCCAGCAGCTGCAGATTGAAGGCCGGAGAAGCCATCACATTGCGCGGCTGCCACAGACAAAACCATCCCAAACACATTCACACCGCACAGAAATTCCGGGCCACGCGAGACAAGATGCTGTCAAGCCCAGTGTCAGACAGCGGGCCAGAGCCTCTCTTGAACTCAGCGTTCTTCTTGCAGCTTTCAAGTTTGAAGAAGGTGCAAACAAAGAGTCTGGGAAGCTCCTTCCTTCCGAAGCAGGTCAGTCGTTTGATGCTGGTCCCTTGCTTCAGCCAGTCAAGAACGACATTTTCCAGCGTAGAGCTACCATGCTTAAACCGTAGCAATTGACCGGGCTGCGTTAGATGTCTTACCGTATTGCAGGTGAACCGCAACCCCGGAAAGCCGGGGTAAATTATGGTGGGGGGTGGGTAATGTCATCTCCATTTTCCTCTTTGAGGCTGGAAACTTGGAAACACGGACCCCCCCCCCCCCGCCCCGCAACCCCTTTGTTTAAGACAGGGGTAGCAACCCCCATTCCCAGAAATTCGCGCCTGGGCAAAATTTGTTTAAGCAACTTGCCCCTCCTCTGAAAAACACAACAAACTCTGAAGGAAATAGGGCTGAAGTTGGGGTGCAAATTCCCGTTTGCAAGGGCAGTTCCTCCATGTGGTGTTTTATGTGGGTATGTGATTTTTTTTATTTGCACCATGAAAGTGGTCATTTTCCTCTACCAACTACCAAAGAAAAACGCCCCCGTCCTTCGGAGGGCATCTTCATGACGGGCAACAACTTGCGCTCGGTACCGTCCATGAGCCATTGCCGCAGCCTTGAGGCGAGGCGCTGGGTTGGGTTTCCGCTTCCAAACCATCCCAAAGGCAATTGGAAGGTCGGGAGGGTTTGTGGGGCACAGCACTACGCATATACTTGTTGTGCAGCTACCGCACTGCTCTACCACTGCGCGATTTGCAGGAGTTTAAAAAGCCAAAATGCGTTTCTTGTAGTCGTTGCGGAAGCCAACTTTGACTGAGCGGGAATTGCTTCACAACACGCGGGAGAAGGGAAGGCTTTGTACGCAGGAGTTGGAGTTTTTGTCGTGGTGTTGATTGGATCTTTTTACACATTTCAGGCCCCTCATTGGCCCCTCATTTAGCACGTGAGGTCGCTTGTTTGAGCTGGGAAAAACCAGGAAGCGCTTAGAAGGTTTCGGGATTGGGTTTATCCGGGGCTTTGATGTTGAATTGATATTTGAGGCTCAAGATTTGTGAGCGGGAATTTGGAAACGGGTGTGTCTTGTTCAGACAGGGTTGTGGGATCAAGGGGTTTATCCCCACTTCTGTGATACACGGAAATCCTCTCTTTCTAGGTCTTTGGGAGGCCCTTTTTGTTGTATCACAGAAGTGGATTCCATTTATTTCCCACAGCCCTGTGTTCAGATGGTGGCTTTCCCGGTTCTTTTCCCACAAAGATCCAGGCTCCTCCCAAAAAGTTGGCGTGAAGCTGGGGAGCCGAAGCTACGCCCTAGGTCCGTTCGCAGCGAAAATAGGCAAAGCCCCATAAAACCCGCAACAACGACCAACGAACACTATGAACAAAAAACGAAGCGGCCTCCAAAAAAGCACCGAAAGATACAAGTCCTGTACAAAGTATTAAAGCCAAGCTCGGCGGAAGGGGATACATCAAATGCGATAACTCGGCTCCGGGCTGGCCTCTTGGACGCATTCGTTTAGTTTGTGTTCTCCGGGATCTCAGAGTAGGGGTATTTTTCTCAACTGTCCAAAGCCCACCTCTTGACCTTTTTGTTTTTGGAAAATGTTGGTAAATTTTTAATCATGGCCGCAAAAGGTTAACACTTTATTTCTAGGTGCTGTAAACAAGTGAGCATTTCTGCAGCCTGGCAAAACGCCTCGGCCTTCTTTGCTAAGTTGTGTGTGTGTTCGCAGGGAGCTTACCGCAAGTAGGAAAGCAAAGCCGGCTTAACACATGAAACACTCGTGCCTTTGTTTGTGCCTTCGAAGCCTACTCAATGGTTGGTCTAACAAAAGCGCATGTTTTCCTGTACCAAAAGGGCAGCCCACCAATTTCGGCTAAGAAGTTCCAACCTTTTTGGGGGGAAATCCATTGACCCCCGTCGCCCCTTTCAAGTTTTTCTTCTGTCCAGACCGTGTCCTTGGGCTGGAACCAGCTGACGAGTGCAACTCGTACGCCAGTGCTGCCTCCCTCAAACCCAGAAGGGAATTCTCTTGTCGGGTAGTTTCAGGGTCCAGGTGCTTCCATTTGCGTTTCGGGGATATGATTGATTTTCCCTGTTGGTTTTTCAAGGGAATCGATTCCCAGAAAATCCAAGTACCTTCTAATAGACCCCTTTTCAAAAGCCATCCTCAGGAGGTACTTGGACCCGACTGGATTTTTTCCAGGGAGGTGCTAAGTGAAATCCAGGTCCCGATTCGGGTTGGGGTTTTTCAAGAAACAAATCGGGACAGGGCTGTGGTTGAAATGGGATCCACCTGTGATACAACTAAGTACTCATACACAGAGGACATTTCCCTTGTATCGCAAAAGTGGTTGGATAAACTTCGAGTGATCAACCACACTGTTCTCTCGGGTTTTCTTCGATTTCTCATGAGAAACCCCTCGAAACCCGTGTTTTTGTTTGAGGGTTTCTCATGAACCCATAAATCTGAACTTTGTTTTTGGATGGTGTGTTTGTGTTTTCTCTCGTTTTCTCTCGTGATGCTAACGAGTCGAGGTGGACTTGCCGAAGAGCCCCCTGAGATCTCTGTACCTCACGTCGAATCGCTTCTCCCAGCTGCCGTCCTTCCCTTGCGCACGCCTGGACCGACGTCTCTCTAGGGAAGTACCGTACCTTCCCTTTGTTGCATTTGGCCAAGGGATGTTCGGACTTTAACTTTTTGATCCAACTAATGGGTTATCCGTATTGAACCACTAAAGGTTAAACTTTTAGCAGGGGATCAGAAAGCAACCGAGCTCCCCATTCTTTCCAGGGATCCCAATCTTTCTAGAAAACCTCCGGAAACCACAAAAAACCGGATCCGGTTTTTGGCAAGAACGATGGTTGAAAGGAATGGGGAATCAAACCCTAGAGTCTCCGCTTGCTTCGCGGTTTCGCGCGTGAACCGCGCGAGCGGTCCGGAGCATAGGGCGGCATGGCGCCCGTGGAAATTCCAGATCTGGCACCCCCAGTTGCAACCAGTGGACCACTGAGTCCGCCCCTTTTTTTTCCAACTTTTCTGGGGAAAGGGTTCCGAGTCCTGTAAAGTACCAGAAAAGGATGCCCTTTTTGCCCCATGGAAATCCACTCGGCATCTGAGTACCTGGGGCCGACAGAACTAGCCGTAAAAACATGTGATTCGTATAGAACTTGTCCGTGACCCAACACACACACACACACCCAACGTTAGTCTTTCCCAATGGGGTGTGTTTGCTGTGTGTGCGTCTGTGTCTGTGTCTGTGTCTGTGTGTGTGTGTGTTTGGGGGGTCCCTGTTGGCGGGACGGGGGGGAGGGTTGAGTTATGGCCCTACGATTGTGGGGTTAGTTCACTTTTTTAATGGGTGGTTAGTGATTTCCCTCGATGTGAAGCTATGGGCGTGGTTAAAATACATGTTGAGACCAAATGATCTTAACCCCAACCTTAGAGTACGGACAAATCCCAGGAGCATTTGATTGGTTCAGTTCTTGCTTGCTTGGACTTTGCTGAAGCCAGACCAGGGTCATTTGAGATATCTGAGACATTTGAGCCTTTTCTGCCTTAACCGGGAAGCCAAAAGACAGCCCTCTTCCCTTTCAAAGCTAACGGGGGTACATTTTGAGAGACTCGCATGTCGTTCTTTTCTGGGTTCCGCCCCCAAGCCGACTCGGCCAGGAGTTTTATGAGATGTGGGTGTTTGCTGAACGGGAAGGTTTCAGGTGGCTCCCCTCCCCGTGCCCCTTACCGTCCAAAAGGGGGACACTGAATCTTTTGGCTTCTGTGCTTGCTCTGGTTGCCGCTTGAAGGAATGGGACTCGGATTGGCAGGAGGCGCTGGATGTTGGCAGCAATAAGCTGAAGACTTTGCCAGACCTGAGCCACTGCAAGCAGCTGAAGGCCGCGGCATGTTCGAAACAAAACCAGCCTCATGGTTGTTGTTGGGAAACATTTCACATTGTTGCTTATTGTGGTTTAGTGGGAAATCCCCACTTAGCTGCTTAAGTTTAATTTGTTGCTCCCCTTCCAACGTCAACCAAGGCCTCTGTCCGCCCCAAAATGGAAGCTGCCAAAAGTTGGCCACAGGGCCAATGAGTTTGGGGAGCTATGCATGCACTGCCCGCTAACCCTTGGCTGCCTCTGCTGGAGAGAGCGCCAGCAAAAAAAAGGAGCTGAGAGTTTGTTTTGATTTTTGTTTTGGACGCGATTCATTCTTCGGGCACGCCTCCCATTGGTGGACTCGCGATTTGGGGATTTGAACCGGCTTGAGACGGCCAATGGGAAGCCACCGAGCCACCGCCAAATAGGATTCCTCCAAAGCGGCCACTGAGGAATCACCTCACTTCCTGAGCTCATGGACTTCAAACTTTTCGGGGTTAGGCCATTTTAGTGGTAAACTTAAAAAGTTTGGTTACTTTTTTGGGGCCATCCACTCAGCAAGTGAGAATCAGATTCTTGCTTGACCTTCCTGGTTTCAACGAAGGATCTGCGCAAAAGCGTCCCGGGACTTGTTTGGAAGACTCGGGTTCCATCTCCCGGCCTTCCGGGAGCCATGTGACCCCGCAACCTCCAAAAATCCGGCCTTTGTTCAGGGTATTTTGTCGACCCTCTAACAAAAGGTTGGAGTTGCCGTGGAAACTTTTTTTTTGCGGTTTTCAACCAACAATGTCAACTGAAGAAGAAGAAGAAACACAACGTGGGTATTTTAAGAGTAGGGTGTAAGCTCTCATTTTGTGGGTACCAGAGGGTCTGCGGCACAGGTCCGGTGGCACCAGTGCCATCTTTGGGTGGCCTTTTGGGTGGGGCTGGCGTAGAAGTTTCAATATCCTGGCAGGTTCTGCAAGCGGGGTCCAACATCCTTACCACCTTGCCGGATCTCTCCGAAAACCCACAGCTGCAACTCGGCGGGAAGTTGGTGACATGAGTCACACAGTTGCAAGCGAATCTGCCTTTTGAATTTCCCATGTGCTCCCACTTTCCGGTTTTATGCCAAAAGGTCGCTTTTTTATGTTTCAATCTAAGGATCCAGAGGCGCAATTTTTGGAATGACAGATCATAAAAATACAAATAAGAAAAGCATAAGCTGGTTTTGGTCCAAACTGGGCAAGTGAGATTCATACCTCGGTTTGGGTTGGACAGCTTCGGGTCGAAGCTCACCGCATGGGCTTGGCTCGCGGTTTTCGGTTTTCGGCCGGGCCAGAGTCATGTTGGTTTGGATGGATCAACCCCCAATTTTTGGTGAAATTGGGTGGTGGAATCCGGGCTCCCGAAGTGGTCTGAAGTCCCCACGTGTCACCCAGGAAACACCAGCACCATGAAAATGAACAGGTTGGTTGATATGTCTCGACAGAGGCTGGACCCAGACTTGGTGGGGAAACCAGAAGTTTGGATCTTCAGTTTGTTGGGCAATCCATTCAGGTAATGAGCAATTAGATGGCGCTAGCCTTCTTTTTTTCTTTTTTTTTTCGGAACTTCCTTTGAGGTGAATCACCGAAAGAAGGCGCCCTTTGTCCCAGAAAAAGTCCACTTGGGATTGGGGCACTTATCCACTCTGGAGCAGGGCATTGGTACCAACGCTTGGGACAGAACGGTCAAGCTAAGCCGAAAATGAGTAAAGAAGACACGGCCATAGATCCCATTCTCTTGCGAGCTCGCCGATTCGGGCGGTTTGGAACGAGCGAACGCCATCATAAAGGTCTCTTACTTGCTGATCCTTAATTCACCTTTTGGTTGTTTTAGTAAAATCCGCAGATAGATAGATATAACTATTTGTTTGCGTTCTGAGTTTGGAGCTACGTGTGCATATATAAATATCACTTATTTTTTTCTTTCAAATACATGTACGTCCGCGGTCCCAGCAATACCATGCCGTGGCTGGGACCTACCCCCATAATTCGAGGATCCATGCCCCGTTTCAAATCGCGAGTGGCTGGCTTCTTTGGCTTGGAAAAGGCGTGAGACTTTTGCTCTTTGGCCGGAGCCGAAGACTTCTTCCCCAGAATCAGTTCCCCTTGTTACTTGTTCATTGTTTGGGGTTCCCTTTGTTTTCCACTACCGGGCAAGAAGCATATTTTTTGCTGGGGTCATAATTCCAGCCGAAGACTTGAGAAAACTCTATCACTCGCGAAGCTTCCCGTCGAGTCGTGTCTACGCCAAGGGAGTTTTCTGATCCCAGCGCAATGCTGCTTGCTTGTAATGTCCAGCGTTCTGGCATGATCCCAAGCATCGGTGAGTGCTGGATTGATTGTTTCGCATGTGAAGGGTGATTGATTGTGGGCCCTCAACTTATGTTGTTTTTGAGGGCCTGCAAACAGACAAGGAACAGGAGAGAGATGGAATATTCGCAGTCTTTATTCCAGCTCTTCCATCATTTCTAATATTTATTCATCTTTCCTTCTTTCCTTTTGGACCCTTAGTCGAAGTCGCCCTTGAGGATGTGGTCGGGGTTCTCCATTGGAGGGTGCATGGACCCTGACGGCAATAATCATCTTAGACTTAGTTTTTTGCAAATCCACTCAGGCAGCGAGGGTTGAGGGCTTTCCTTTAACATCCAGTAGCACAAGAAGGCAACAACCCAGTTTTCATGGGTAGTTCTTTTGGGTCCAGGCACTTATTTTAGTTTTTTGTTTGAATGGCACTTGTTTTAGGGCAGTTGGTTCGTTAAATGCCCAATGTCTTTCCACGGTCAACACTTTCCTTCAGCCTCCCTCAGATTTGTGTTTTGTATTGGTGGTTTGGGGATTTGAACGGGGTTCTGGCGGGTACATGGGAAGTTCTCCGGAAGACCACAAAACCACCAATTCGGCTCCAAGCCACTTGGAGGGAAACTGATGTAGAGTTGTCTGCTGCAGCCACCCTAAACCAATAATGTGGACCCCAGATGAACCTACCCAAGTTTTTTTCTCGGGGGGCTGCAGGGTCTCATGTTGCCTCGCGCCACCGCGCCACCGGTGACGCCCCGTAGGCTTTCTCTCTCGGTGGGCGAAAACTTGCTGCAGCAGCTGGTGGTGAAGTCGCCGCGAATGGCCCCGTGGCTGCGAAGGCGAAAGGAATGCCTTGGTCGGCCGAAGTTAACCCCATGTTTTATCAACCGACATGGGAGGTTGGGGGGGGGGAGGTTGGGGGTGGGGGGGGGGGAGGTTGCGGGTTTCCCCAACCAGTCAGCCAACCAGCCCCTTGTTTTTTGTTTTAGTTTCTTTTGGGTTTCGTGGGTTGGGGGGGATATTTGTTCAACCCCAGTTTATTCATGGGGGGGGCTCCTTTAGGGGTTTCTTTGAGTTTGTTTTTGGTTTCGTGGGTTGGGGGGGGATCCCTTATGTTTTTTGGTGTTTCGTGGGTTGGCGGGGTTCCGCATTTAGCCATCTCCTTGGGTTGTTTTGAGTTTCGATTTTGGTTTCTTGGTTTTCACAGAAATTTATCAACCAACCGGTTTAATCCTGGAGTCTCCTTCTGACCCTTCAAATGGTTATTGCCCAGAGGCTCCCGATTGATTTATATAGGGCCTTCAAACAACCTGGTTTTGAGACCCCAAACCACCAATTCCCCGGGTGTCTAATGCTTCAGGGTCGGGTCTTCCATTGAAAGGGTTCAGGAGCCCTACAAGTGTCCCGCCTGTTCGCCTGCGTCACCTGGGCGGCACCACCAATTCCCGGCATGTCTAATGCTTCGGGGTCGGGTCTTCCGTTGAAAGCCGAAGCCAGGAGCCTCTGGGTACCCAAAATGCAGGGGAGCCACAATCAAAACCCGGGTAGATGAAAGTTAGTACGGGACGAGCCATAAATAGCTGCGGATCTCCGCCTTCTTCATCCTGTACATGTTTCTGGGTAGAGGAAAAGAAAGTACCAAGTTCTTCAAAAAGCGACTCAGTCACATAGGTGTCCTTTTTAGGTGAGCCTGGTTAAAAAAATAGATGGCACTGTTTTTATGAATGGTCTTGTTTCATTTACCAGGGCCTCAATTTGTCCAAAAGGCCACCTATGCTCAGTGGACCCCGTCGGTTCGTTGCACCGGGTCCCCGCTTCGGAATTCGGCACCTCGGGACGGCACCTCCCGGCTCGCTCCCAGCTCCCCGCTTCGCTTCGAGGTGAAGCTCCAGGCCAGCGCCAACAGCTTGCAGAGGGTGGATCTTCGGGCCGCGCCCAAGCTGCTCGGCGGGTTTTCGTGGGCTCGTTCTGGTCTTGTTTGGCCGGTTTTTTGTTGGCCCGTTTTTTTCCTTTTCTTTCTGTCTTTCTTTTTTTTGGGGGGAGGGGAAGTTCAACTCGTTGCTGTTTTGCGCGGCTCTATTTGTTGGTTTCGGCTCGTCCTCTTTTTTTTTGGCCCGTCTCTTGTTTGGAGGGAGGACGGGCGGCCGAATCTAAGACAGTCCATGACCCCTGTATTTTGGGTTACCGACCTGTTTTTTTAAGGGTCAGAAGGAGACTCCAGGTACCCGTAAAATGGGACAGTGCCCTAACATCATGGTTGGTAAACTCATTTCTGAATGTTGGGTGGTTCGAGGGTCCGGGTTTCCATTTCACACACATGAGGCGGCACCTTTCGCTCAGCGGGGCAGAGACACCTGGAGTGGTGATTCGGACACAAAACTGTGTGTGTGTGACGAACAAGCCAATCGGGTCGAATTAGTCGCACTAGCGAGTGCCCAACCGGAAAAGGCGAACCGCCAATGTCGTTTTGGTGTTTTCTTGCAGGCCCTTTTGGGGATGGTTAGATCGTATGGGCGGCCCTCTCTGATCTCGGTTTACTCCAAGTTTGGTTTATATTTGACTGTTGACTCAACAAGACAAATAAATCACATTCTGAACATCTTTTTTGGTGTACCCTTTGAAATTGACCAAGCAAAATACCATTGTTTCCATGAACATCTCCTTTTCAAGCCAAATGGAGAAGGTACCCGATGGTCGCACCAAGGAAGCAGGTGAGTTGTCAAAACATCCGCGTAAAAAAAGGAAGCGCACCCAAGCAAGTGCTGGTTTTCTGTCGGGGCAGCTTAGTTGAGTGGACTCCACAATTTTGCTTGGTGTGTGTTGGCTTCCCCACGAAAAACATGTCAACCAACATGTGGTTCCCGTTCCTTTTCGGGCTTCCGGGACCCAAAAAGTGGGCAGCTCAGTTGCCCAAAGCCGACCTTTGAACCTTATTTCTGGGGTGTTTGTGCAAGTGAGGCAGAAGCAGGCAGCCATCCTTGACAGTTGGTTTTATTGTCTCCATGTTTTCAGGTAAGTCTTTATTGGTGGTTAGCTTGGGGCTCGTCTTTTGCTGTGGAGAGGAGGCTCAGGCAGAATGCCCCTTGAATCAGGTTACCCTTAGCCGGTGGCTGGGGGATTTGCGCCGTGGGTTCTTGTAGGGGGCGAATGAGCCACAATCAAAACCCGGGTAAGTGAAGGTTAGTAAGGGACAATCCCAACCGTAAATAGCCGCGGTCGCCTTCTAAATTATTTTTATGGCTCTGGGTAGAGCATTTTGATACCGGGTTTTGATTCTGACCCAAATGGGAAACCACCCGCCCTCAACCACCAAACCACCTAACCCCGGGCTCCAAACCAGCAATTGTAGGGGGAAACTCGCCCCCCCAAACCGCTGAGAGCTATGTGGTCTAGAGAGGCGCTTCTGGTCGGTTCCTGATGGTTCTGGAACTGTTGGGCATATCATCTGGGCTTGTGTGGCTTGCTCATTTTCCAAGTGTGAACCCCTCCTTGGGCAATTGGGGGTCCTGGTCTTGACTGCTGTTGGGTAGCGGATCTTTAGACTTTATCTTTTTGGTTGAACTCAAGTTGGGTTTTCCAGAAGAAGAACAAAACACACAAACAGTGAGTGCTTGACTTTTTGCAGAGGGGTCAATCAGCAGCAACCAAGTGGTGTTCTTTCTTTGGAGTTCGTGGCTCGCCTGGCGCGCAGTTCACCTCAGGCTCGCCATGCTCTACTTAACCAAGAATAAGCTGACTCAGCTGGACCTCTCGGCCAATGGCGCGAATGGGCGAATGGCAAGAGAGAGATGCCCTACCCCCTACACCCAATACCCTCTTTTTTCAGGGTATCATGTCGATACTCTACTAAAAAGGAGGTATTGACCATGGAAACCAGGTTTTTTCAAAAATACCCTGAAAAGAGCGGGTATTTGGAGTAGGGGGTAGATGTTGCAAGAAACAGATGTGTCCTACCGGCCAGTTGGATTATAATGTTGACCCAGGATCTAAGTAGAACCCCTCCCATTATTAGGGGGGTGTTTTCCCCTCCAAAAGTGGTCTGAATCCAACCACTAAAAGGGGACACCCCCAATCAAAATCAACCAGGGGTTCTGCTTAATCCGGGGTTAACATTATATGATATACAAGCTCACTTCCTGAGTTCCTGGACTTTAAACTGTTGGGGCTTGGACCAATGTAGTGGTAAGTAAACAGTTTGGCTACCGCCAATCCACTCAGGAAGCGAGTGCGTATATGATGTAACGCCCCGGTATGTAAAGATGAATTAGGTTTGCGTTCCGCCAGATTTCGGCTTGCGGGTTATGGCCACTGGCCACTCCTCCGAAGGAGTGTGCCAGTGCGACTTGTGCCTGACCCTTAGCAGGGTCAGGGACCTGTGCCGAGGGTCTAGCTCCTACTTTTTCTGGAGCCGGGCCCTCGAGCGTGTGAGGTTGCTGCAGGGGGAGATCCTGACCTTCGGGATCGGGATCACTGGTTGTCAACCCAGCCCCCTGCAGCAACCCCTCCTGGGACGGGAGGGGTAGGAGGTGCTCCTTCCGAGGGAGCATCTCCAGCGGGAGCTCGGGGGACCTGGCAGTCCCCCCGGCCTCCAGCGGCAGAGGCTGCTGGGGCCAAAGAGGCCGGTGAGGAGAGAGTGAAGGAGAAGAAGAAAAGGAAGAAAGAGGAAAAGAGGGAGAAGGAGAAGAAAAGGAAGAGGTCTAGGTCATCGAGGGGGAAACGTGAGGAGAGCGTAGAGGTCACCAGGAGTCCGGGAGGAAAGGAGTCGAAAAGAGGAAGGGAAGAGTTTCCGTGGCACCAGGTTGGAGGGTCTGTGGGGGTCAAGGAGGAGCCCGCCGCGAGCGAGGACGAAGAGGAGCGCCCAAGGGAAGCCAGACATCGGACCCCCACCTCTCCGGTGTCATCAAGCAAGGAGAGGAGGCATAGCATAGGAGCACTTCGAGTGAGGGGCACATCAGGCGGCTTATTGCAAAGAGCAAGGAGGCCACTGAGGAACGGGCTGAAGGTGAAGAGAGGAGAGAGGAGGCATCAGACAGCAGAGAGAAGGAGGAGATCAAGAGGGACCTCAGCCGGTCCCCTTTGCGGAGGCTCCCGGGGGGCTTCATCGAGGACCTGCTGATCCGGCCCCGAGAGGAGTACAGAGGGTAGGACAGGAGAGGAAAGAACAAAGGGCGCAAGAAAAGAGAGCAGCAGAGGAGGTTCAGAGAGCGCTTTGGTGGAGGAAAAGGAAAAGGTGGTGGAAAGCACTGGGGAGGCCGAGGAGATTGATGCCTCCGAAGGTGGGCGGCAGAAGAGGAGCTGCTAAGGCTAAAGCAGCTGCGAAGGGGAGAGCTAGAGCCCTTGCCCGGCTGCCGGTGGCTCCTCCTAGGGTCCGAAGGAGACCCGCTGGGGAGGAAGAGAGAGAGGATCCGGCCGTGTTGAGGAGGCCGGCTGGTAGACAGGTGGCTCCAGTTGAAGAGAGGTTTGAGAGAGGGGAGAGTGTGAACGTTGTGGAGTTGCCAAGACATTTGATTAGGCCAGGCCAGAGCTTGATCGTGGTTGAAGGCAACTACTGGGAAGCCCCCGTGACGCTATGTGGAACAGTGGAGAGAGTCGAAGAGGACGGAGCAGGGGTCGTCGTGGAGGTTCGGCTGTTGGGCACGGAGAACGAGGACCTCCTGAAGTGGTCGACAGGGAGCCCAGCAAGCCGATGCAAGCTGCACATGTGAGGGGAAGGTTGCGTGGCAGGCCTATGCGAGGACGGGCTGGTCCACGTGAAGAAAGTCAAGCTTCGCCTCCCAGGCGCAGGGGGGACGACATGGCGGCCTTGAGAGAGAGGGGCAACGAGCTGGACAAGGAGGATTTGAAGGCTGGAAGAAAGAGCAAGAGGGTAAAGGAAAAGGAGACAGGAGGTATGGAGAAGAAGAGGGCGAGAAGCGAGTCAAGCTCTTCAACCAGCTCATCCAGCCGGAGGAGAAAGAAGAAGAAGAAAAAGAAAAAGAAGGCGAAGAGAGGAGTAAAGGTCGAAGCAACAAAGGAGCTGAGCGCCGTGTTTGGAAACACCGGGATGGACCCGGATGTCAAGGTGAGGAGACAGGTGGTGAGGAAGGTAAAGAAAAGCCTGAGGCTGCTGCAGAGACAGATGGACACCTCCGATCGGGAGTCTTCGGGAGAGGAGTCGACAGAGGAGGAGGACGCGGGGGTGTTCGAGGAGGCGCAGAGGATCAGGAGAGTTGGAGTAAGAGGCCCAGGAGTGTTGGCAGCGGCGTCCATCAACGAGATGAAGAAGTCGTTGGTCGCGGCTTCAGGGCAGCTGTGGGGCCAAAACAGAGATTTGGCGCCGGTGGGTGTGCACTATTTCAGGACGGTGCTTCAGCTGAAACTCCATGGCGCGATGGCCCGAGAAGCGTTCACCCTGGCCTATGGTGCGGACCTGGGAGGGTTGCCGAGGCGATCGACCTGTTGCTGCAGCGCCTGAAATCGTTGGAGCAGGTCTCTCAGGAGACTGCTCAGAAGATGGAGCTGTGCCCCTTGGAGACAGCTCAGGTAGCAACCCGGGCGGAGGCTGCGATCGCGATAAAGGAAGCCCGCGGAGAAGGTGCCTGGCAGAACCCTGGAAAAGGTGCTCCTGGGAGGGAGCAGCAACCGAAGGGTGGTTGGCGAGAGCCAGGAAAAGGACGAGACGGCAAAGGCAAGAGCAAGAAAGGCAAGGAGGAGAAGGGATCAAAAGGCGCGGAGGAAGTAAGTAAGGCAGGAGTCAGCCAAGAGGAGAAAGTGCCAGCCTGGAGATCTCCTAAGAATGGGAGAGGTGAGAACCGGACTATGACGGAGGAGGATGAGACCTTGGACCACAGCGTCCCTTGGAAGATGACAGACCGCAAATCAGGAGTGAATGGTGGAAGAATTGAGGTACTGCCGTGCATGATGGGAGCCAATAGCGCTCCTAGCCAGGGGATGTTGCCTCTGTCCTCGGGCCGACCCGAGGTAGAGGCGCAGAAGGGAGTAGGAGAGATGCTGGGGGGCCTTACTTTTGGTGAGGGAGCAGTTCATTTGGGAGCATCGCTGTTTCAATATTTATCTTCAAGCTGCATGACCAAGTCCATTGGCAACATCTTTCCCTTGCCATCAGCCTTTTGCTCCCTCAAGAAACTATTCCCGAACAAGAAGGACGAGGAGTTGAGCATTCTTCAGAACATGATTTGGTCATTGAATCATCTTAATGGCTCCCCAGTGTCTATGGTTGGAGATGGGACCCCCTGCCAACAGCGGCTTTTGGGGGGTCTCATGGATGAAGCGTGCGCCGCTGGTCGGTGGCTGGAAAAGGCGGAGTTCCTGGACTGGGGTGAGTTCTTCAGAGTCAAAGGGGTTGATTATCAAGGAGAAGAGGTCAAAGTTGCACGTGCGGTTTCTTGGGAGATGTTATCCCCTGCATTGCCCTCGGAAGTTCCCTTTCTGACGTTTGTGATGCAGGGTGCAAACATTATGTTGAGAACTTCGAGAACTATCTTCTCCCGGTTGAGGACCAGGTGTTCACGAAAGGGCCAAAGGTCATGGTTCCTCCCGGGGATTGGGAGGAGCTCGCAACAAACCTGGTTCAACGAGGCATTTGCAAAGTTATTGAGGAGTCAGAGGTTTATCACGTTCAGGACAAGCCCTTGTTGAATGGTCTCTTCGGGGTTTCGAAGGGCGACTGGTCAGGCGAGATTGAGGTCCACCGGCTCATCATGAACTTGATACCCTTGAATCGTATTTGTCGGGGTATTGAGGGCGACATTGCTACTCTTCCTTCGTGGAGTTCCATGGGACCACTGTCGCTGGATATCGTTGAGGACCTTCTCATTTCAAGCGAGGACGTGAGATGTTTCTTTTACATTTTTAAAGTACCCGTTTCTTGGCATAGGTTCATGGCTTTCAACCGCCCTTTGCCTAAAAGCCTCTGTGAAGGGAAATCTGGTACATGTTACCTGGCGGCGACGGTTCTTCCTAGGGGTTTCAAGAATTCTGTGAGCATTGCCCAACATGTACATCGGTATGTTTTGCGGCAGGGGCTTGATGAAGTCAGGTCGCCTAAATGGAGGGGATCAGGAGTTGAGGCGTGACAAGCCTTCTCCTTCTTCTAGCAACATGTTCCGTATTTATTTGGACAATTTTGACGAGCTCACAAAGGTGAACAAGGACCTAGCCGCCACGTTGAAGGGAGAGTTGACTCCTACTGTGTTGGCCCTTCAGGAGGCGTATGCAAGATGGAACATCCCAAGGCACCCCAAGAAAGCTGTGGCCCTTCAATGTCAGGCACGATGGCATTGGTGCACTTCGAGTTGCGGCGGAGGCCTCGCGGCTGCCATTGCTGGGTCACATTGCTGTCGAGAAGAACGCAGAGGCCAGGAGGGTTACAGAATCCAGGTACCCTGCCTCCCTTATGTGGGAGGATGTTACTACGGTGGATGCCGAGGTGGTAAAGGGTTGGGCCACTCATTTTTCGCAGGCAAGTTTGATCGTCGTGGGAGCTGGGCCCCCGTGCCAAGGTGTCAGTGGACTCAACGCTGACCGCAAAGGGGCCCTTAAAGACGAAAGGTCGTGCTTGTTCGCCCATGTTCCTAGGATACTGGAACTGGTTAAACAGGCTTTTCCCTGGTGTCAAGTTCGCCTTCTTATGGAGTCGGTTGCCTCAATGGACGACACGGATCGTCTCCTTATGTCAGCATCTGTGGAGCTATCACCCGTTCGAATTGATGCAGCAGGAGTTTCAGTCGCACATCGACCTCGACTTTACTGGTTTGATTGGGAGGTCCCTGACATGCCAAACGTTCATAGGAAAGACGGAGCCGTGGTTGACAGCGAGCTTGACGCCTCTATTGACCCCAGTATTTATTTAGAACCTGGATGGTCCATGAGGGGAACTGAGAAACTACCGACCTTTACCACATCTCGACCTCGAAATTTCCCTGGGCATAGGCCGGCGGGACTCAACAAGTGTTCCCCTGAGGAGCGTCAGAGATGGGAAGACGATTCTTTTCGTTTCCCCCCTTACCAGTACAGGACTTGTTACTGTCTTTTCAACAAGGCTGGTGAGGTTCGTCTGCCCAATGTACGAGAGCGAGAGGCAATGATGGGGTTTCCCATCAACTACACTGAGAACTGCCTCCCAAAAGACTGATACGCGGCTCACGCTTATTGGCAATTCGTGGAACGTGACAGTCATCACTTTTCTTTTGAGCTGCTTGGGATCAGTACGGGTGACTGTTGCTGGGTGGGGTTGGAAAGGAGACCCCGAGCACATTAATTGCCTGGAGCTCCGGGCCATCAGGTGGTGGATTGAGAAACGCAAAGTGGCTCGTGCCAAATTTATTCACTTGACGGACAGTTTAGTATGCATGCATTCCCTTGCCCGAGGGCGTACCAGCAGTCGCAAACTTCGCAGAACTTTGACCCGCATCAATTGTCTTCTTTTGGCCTCCCGTTGTTTTCCGGTGTGGGCGTATGTCCACACGTCTCAGAATCCAGCCGACCGACCGAGTCGGCGTAGTGTCCGGAAGAAATGGGTAAAATGAGCCCTAAATGCGTTGAAGGGAGAACCAAAGAAGACAGGGTCAAAATTCGCAAGCGACTTGGAAGTTTAAAACAAATCACAGTTCAGCCAGCTACTCGTGTCCGGTATGACCGAGCTTTGAAAGGATTCTTTTCCTTCCTCAAATTTAATGGGAAGGTTCTTCCGACTGATCAATCCTTCTTGGATGAGTTGGTCGGCGAATATTTGGAACATTTATGGGCAAATGGTGAAGGCAGGGCCCTGGGGTCTGATACTTTAGCCGCCATACAAGATGCGCAACCCCAGGTACGAGGCAAGCTCCAGCAAAGCTGGAGGCTTATGAAGACTTGGGTTTCTAATGAAATGCCAAATCGTGCGCCTCCAATTTCCGAAGATATCCTTCACGCGCTAGTTGGTCTGGCGCTTTTCCGGAAGGATCCGCTTTTTGCCCTTTCACTCCTTGTCGGCTTCTATTCCATGTTGAGGACTGGCGAAATTTTGGGTATAATGAAATCCCATGTTTCTCCGGGAGTTGGATTTACTCCCGCAGTCATTTCACTTGGTCTTACCAAGGCTGGTAAGCGGCAGGGTGCCGCCGAAAGCGTCACCGTGTCAGTCGCGGATGTCGTTCTTCGACTCTCACAGTGGAAGGAGTCTGCGGTGACTCCCGTCAACTTGTGTCCCGCGCCCCATACGTGGCGTCAGAAGTTCGCGCAATATCTCAAAGATCTGCATTTGGACGCTTTTGAATTTCGTCCATACAGTTTAAGGCGCGGCGGGGCAACCTTTTGGTTTCGTAAACATGGGTCTTTGGATAAGATTCTTGTCCAGGCACGTTGGCAGGCGCAGAAGACCGCCCCCATCCGGATGTGGGGGTGTTCAAAAACCAGTATCTGGCCGCGGTCAAAGCATCGTTGCCGAAATTTGAGCATGCCAAAGGCAGGACTGGGGGACGTGGAAAGAAGGTCAAAAGTGAGGTCGAGGGGTAATCCGACCCTTTTCAAAACCGCCCTGAGGGAAGACGGCGGTTGGAGTTTTAAGGAGTCGAGGGGTAATCCGACTCGAAAGACTCAACCCCCTTTTAGTTTCTGGGCTTGGCCAGACAAAGTGGGGTGGTCTTTAATCAAGGCTGGGGCTGGGGCTTACCTGGGCTTGGCCAGGAAGACCCCGGGGTCTTGAACAACCTACTGGGAAGAGGTGTTTAGTATTTAATGCAGGTTTCAAGTTTCAATGTTTTCAGACAAATCTGGTCTTGCAGCGCGGAAAAGAGCAAGCCAGAATGAATCTTTGATGTAACGCCCCGGTATGTAAAGATGAATTAGGTTTGCGTTCCGCCAGATTTCGGCTTGCGGGCCACACCCTCCCGCCCAGTGGAAGTGAGGTCGAGGGGTAATCCGACCCTTTTCAAAACCGCCCTGAGGGAAGACGGCGGTTGGAGCTTTAAGGAGTCGAGGGGTAATCCGACTCGAAAGACTCAACCCCCTTTTAGTTTCTGGGCTTGGCCAGACAAAGTGGGGTGGTCTTTAACCAAGGCTGGGGCTGGGGCTTACCTGGGCTTGGCCAGGAAGACCTCGGGGTCTTGAACAACCTACTGGGAAGAGGTGTTTAGTATTTAATGCAGGTTTCAAGTTTCAATTTTTCAGACAAATCTGGTCTTGCAGCGCGGAAAAGAGCAAGCCAGAATGAATCTTATGTATATATATATATATACGCCCGTTACTCCGGATACCCACATTTTCTAGTGTGTGTGTTTTTTTGAAACACCTGGGTTTCCATGGTATATAGTTCCGTTTTTAGTAGAGGGCCGACATCATACCCTGAAAAAAGGCCGGGTATTTGGAGTAGGGGGTAGTGGTTGCTGGAAGCACTGCCTAGGGCGTCAGCAGAAAAAGTCGAAGGTTGGGTCCTTAGGTGTTAGTAGTGCTTGGGGCACTCGGAAAAAAACAATACCCCACTCCAAATACCCACGTGCACCCTGAATCTACCCAGAGACAGGAGCATCACTCAACATGTTAAGCAGACAAGAATATGGCTCAGGCACTGGCTCTTGGTATTTGGTTGAAACCAAAACAAAGATCTGGTATTTGGAGTCACGGCGATGCACATTTTCTGGTTCGGAGTTGGGGCAGTGGGTTCCGGCGGACATTCTGCACGAATGATGTCATCCGGGCAAATGATAACCACCCCCAGTTATGAATGAAGGGGGGTTTGCACAAAGTGACCCCCCTGTCTTTTGTAAGAGGTGGGAGTTGTTGGGTCAAATGGGGATCCCCCCCTTTCTTGTAAGAGGTGCGTTTTTTTTCCTCAGGGGTCAACAATGGGGATCCCTTTGCGTCTGAATGATCACAGCCCCCACATCCCATGACCATCATGAAGCTCTCGGCACTCTGCTCTTTCAGGCCTAAAACTAGCCAAAAGGGCATGGTGAGAGGTCGCAAGTCACATGGGCAGGTCGCAAGTGATGGGGCCCGCACAAAGCACCTGGAAAATTCAGCCCCTACATGGTTGTTGCAATGGGAAACATTTGACACATTTTTGCGTGTTGTGGTTTAGTGGTTGAAATCCAAGTCCACTTGACTGCTAAAATTTAAGTTTCTGCTCCCCTTCCAACGTCAACCAAGTTACCAGGGAAAAGGGCATAGTGAGTGGATTGCCTGCCAACAGTATCAGTATGGTTGGCGGGGTCATTTCTGAACTCCTTACGTCCTGAGTTCAGGGACTTTGTACTTCTTGGGAAGACGGTAAACAAGAAGTTTGGTTGCTTGTTTTCTGGGTCCCATTTTCCAGGGCTGTTGGAAGGTACAGATCACCGTTTCGGCCAGGCGAGCTGATCGAGGTGGTGATTGCCAACAACGACCTAGAGACTGGCCTCAGTTTTCTTTTGTTGTTCATCGCAGATCCTGTGCTGTTGACCCGCACAACCCTAGATAGCCAAGTTGCGATCGCTTTTTTAAGTCCCTGTTGTTGGTGTTTGTGGGTTAAGTTCATGGAAAAAAGCCATCGCACCTCCAGAACACGTTTTGTTTTCTCACCTATCCAGTGGACACACCTTACACTTCTTCCTTGGTGGCTCTCCATTTATTTGAGTGGTGGCCCAAAAAGTGCACACTTTTTTGGGGCTGGTCACTGGCCAAGTGAGGTTTGCTTGTTTTCACCCTGGATCGCCGGTGGCTTTTTCGCTTTTTCCCATGTTGTTTTACAAAGCCGATTTACAAGACTTTAAGCTGAAAAAAACAAGAGCGATCGATCGCAACTTGGCGATCTAGGTCGTTTCACCTTTTACCCAAACATCCTGGACCCCCCAAAAAAACAATTTTTTCTGCCTTTGTACCCCTTTTTTTTTGGGTCAAAGGCAGAAAAAACAGGAATCGGTCCTTTGGGGGTCCAGGATGATTTTGGGGCCACTTCCCAGGGTAGATACCGTCGGGTGATCTGTAGCCTTGTCAGCTTGGTTTCAAGGAGCTGGAGCCGGGCCGCTAAGGCCGCCAAGGGCTTGAGGTGGGTGAAATTCCATTTTACAGGCAGCTTGGGACATAGACCAAACAGCCTTAAGGCCTGGATTTTGATTTCAAAATGTATAACCCATGTATGCCTGGAGTCCAGTTGTTTGACCCTAAAAAACCGGTTGGTCATTACCCAAAAAGGGTGGACCCATTTGTTTCGGGTCGTGGAGACTCCCCAACCACGAATTTGTGGTGTATGTCCAGGTGAGCCACAATCAAAACCCGGGTAGATGAAGGTTAGTAAGGGACGATCCCAACCATAAATTGCTGAGGCCGCCTTCTTAATTATTTGCATGGTTCTGGGTAGACCATTTTAGTATATTTTAGTACCAGGTTTTGATTGCGACTCATGTGGGCTTCGTGCAGCTTCGCTTCCGATTTGGTTCCTGGGAAGCTGCCTGAGTGGCTTTCGCTTGAAATCGGGAGCCAGTCACCCGCCTGAACCATTTCCTTGGCAAGGTTTGGGACAATACGATTTTGGTCTTTCACTCAAATCAACAAGGAAGACGTTGACCTTGACCCTTGCGAATCTTTGTCTTTCACTCAACTGGACAAGCAAGATGTTGACCTTGACCCTTGCGAATCTTTGTCTTTCACTCAATTGGACAAGGAAGACGTTGACCTTGACCCTGCAACTCTTTGTCTTTCACTCAACTGGACAAGCAAGATGTTGACCTCGACCCTTGCGAATCTTTGCTTTTTTGTGCACTCAAATGGACAAGGAAGACGTTGACCTTGACCCTTACGAATCTTTGTTTTTCACTCAAATGGACAAGGAAGCTTTTCATCTTGACCCTTACGAATGATTGTTTTTTCGCCACTCAAATGGACAAGTTGTTGTTGTTTTTTTTCTCGACCCCCTAACGCTACCCAAGCAATGGATATTGCTTCAAACACATGGGGTGACTTCCTTCATTTTACGCTTAGTTTCGGGGTGCAAGTATGAATCCTAGGCGTCGGATACGTTGAAGCCACCCGAGGAAAGCGCAGACTTCGTGTCGTATCTGGAGAAGGTCACCTTGCTGAACCTCATGGGCAATCGCCTACGCCTCCCGACGGAGAGAAGGGGCAAGGACACCTGGACCCCCAAAGGACCGATTCCTTTTTTCTGCCTTTGTACCCCTTTTTTTTTGGTCAAGGCCAGAAAAAAGGGGGTCCTTTGGGGGTCCAGGCGTTGGTTTCTTGAGTACTGTGGATGGAACTCCGCTTCTCGCACCACTTGGAGCCAAGAATTGTCTCATTTTTCCCGGCCAGCAAATGGGGATTCTTGGCTTCACGTGATCCATTCAGCACCCCCGCAGCGAGCATTTGTGGGGAGAGTAGGCGGGCTTTGGAGATGGGAAAAAGCTGTCTTTGGGGGGGGGGTGCTGGATGTTATTCGCTTGTAGTTTACTTTTGTTAATGATGGGTTGACTGATTTATTGATTTGATTGATTGATTGATTGATTGATTCATTTATATATTAAGTTGTTTTTTCCTCGTTTGGCTGTTTAGTGGTTTGTTGCTTTATTATTTTTGCTTTCCCAGGTGAGCCACGAAATTGTCCAAGAGGTTTGATCCGTTGGCTGTGCTTTGCTTTTAGCCCGTCCAAACAGGGATTCCCTAGGTTGTGATTTTGCCCACTGCGGAGCAGAGCGAGCCGGGAAAGGAACTGAAAATATGTCTATTTGTCCAGGGGGTAAGCAAACGGACATGCGTAATTCAAAGATCAGCCTTTGGGTTTTTGGGGAATTGGGACTAAATCGGACAATGCAAGTGCGATGCAAGTAGTGACAATCATCTCATGGATGTTTCCCTAACCTCCAACCACACCTGGCAGGGCCTCAAGAGGGAAGCTGGAATTTGGTTGATGCAATTTCATGTCAAACGGAAACCGTCCTCTTGGTTTTCGTCGCCTGGATTGCGACAGTTCGTATTGCTACGGCCAAGGTTCCAGGCGCTTGTTTGAGAGCTTGACTGCTATTGGGCAACGGATCTTTAGACTTTAACTGTTTGGTGCAGAAATAGAGTTGTGTTTTCCGAACGAAACCCCTAAAAAGTGAATCACTTTTTGAGAAAATGCATGTTTGCCCCCCCCTTTGTTGTTACATAGCCAAGGCACAGGCCCAGGAGACCCGGCAAACCTGGGTCATTGGCTTGAATGCGTGCCCGGCCCCTCAACCTACCCAGAGTAATTGGTTCATTGCCTGGAACAGATGGGTGAGTCCTTTTTGTTTTTTCTGGGGTAGCATTTTGAAATCCCGGACCGTCATCAGTTTCTGGACTGTAATTACTTTCTGGGGCAATTTTCGCAAGTTCGGCAAACTCAGCTCTTGGAAACCGACCTTTTGACCTTTCGGTTTTCCAGTTTCGGCCTATTTTTAGTCAAGGTCCTACTACCCTCTACTCCAAATACCCGTGTTTTGTTTAAAGGGTATGTTTTGAAGAACCTGGTCATGCAGGGAAAATACTTCCTTTTTTAGTCAAGGGCTGACATATATCCTATACCCTGAACAAAGGCGGAGTATTGGGTGGTTGCGGGGGTAGGTGATCACCTTTTATTTCTTAAGGTCTGAACTGGGCAGGTGAGTGAATCCGTACTGTGGATGGACAAAATCCTGCACCACTGTGAAGCCGTGGGAAAGCATTCTTTGTTGGTATTTACATGGCAATCATTATCCCAGAGTTTCTTGAGTGGTGCGAAACGAGATTCGTCCATCCACAGTATGATTCTTGTTTGGGGGTTTCTCCGCCTTCACTGCTATTGGGTTGGATCTTTCGACTTTAACTTTTGGGGAAATCAAGGTGTTTTCCACTAAACCCCCAAAAAGTGATTCACTTTTTGCAGGGAGGTCAATAGCAACCAAGCCAGCGAGGTTCCCTACCACGAGTGGTAAGCAAGAGCTTGATCAAGCTGGACTTGTCGGACAACTTCCTGCAGAGGCGGCTTGGCGATTTTGGTGATAGCTCGCATGGCATAGACTTGCTTCCATTTGGTGATTATGTTTGATTTTCCCCTGTTGGTTTTAACAGGGCTCCTCAAACATACATGTTGCCTATTTGAAACATGGCTTTTTCCACCAAAATAAAGGGAAACCACCATTCACAAGGCAATTTTGAGGCGTATCATGTAAAGATCCCTGTTTTTAAAGGGGCTCAATTTCACAGCCGGAAATATGTGCATTTCTTCCAGGGCACTTAAGCTAATGGGAGGCTTATTTGGAGCAGCTGTGCCCACAGGGACCTCCTGACCCTTGGTTTAAAAAGACGCTCCGCCTTTTTTGGGGGTTTCCATGACTAGGTCCCCCAGCCAGGTGCCCTTTCTCACCAACTTTATTTGGGGGAGATTCGGTTCCCCTAGTAAAATAGACTACAGAGAAAAAGCTGGTACCAACTTGTTCTAACCTCTCAAATCTGGAGGACCTAGATGATTTGCATCAAAGGTAGAACTTTTTGCAGGGGTTGCTCCAGACTTAGCTAAAACAAGCCGAGTATTTGGAGTAGGGCCATCGAAGGGACATCCTGAAAGCTGCCCCCATGCTGGTTTAATGGGACGCCCCCGAAATATAGCCAGACCTAGGCGACATGTTTAACTTTCTGCCTTTTGCGGGTTCCCATCACCAGCAAACACTTGAACTTTTTGCGGGGGGCTCTAAGTCTGGTGAAGTGCATTTCCCCTTTAAAGATCACCCTGAAGGAAACCGAAACTCCGCCAAGGCACGTTGAAAGCCACCAGCCTAAAGGCTCTCTTAGGGCCTTACCACCTGATTCTGAGACCGGGTCCCAGCCAGTTCCCGGGGTCTATATACGTCTGCTTCGGGTCGGGGCTTTGCATTGAAAGCCGTTTCCAGGAGCCCCGAAAAAAGGGAAATGCGCAGAGCCCGGGTCAAATGGAAGCTGCTTTTCTGGAGAACGCCTGGCTCAAGAGGTGAGGATTTGAGACGGCTACATGGTTTGAACAGGGCTCCTCAAAAGATCTCCATTTTGCGACCATTTGAAGCATGTTGCATGTTCCACCAGAATAAAGGGACACCATTTACAAGTTGCAATGTTCAGGTGTATAATGTAAGGATCCCGGTTCTTCCATGTGAGTTTCCGAATATGTGGCATTCCCCTCTTTGGTTCATTTTGGTTCAGGGAATCGATGTCACTGGAATTGTCTGGGTTTTGCCTGACAAAGAAGCAAGTGGAAGATGATGGGCCAAGAACTATAAATCCCACTGCGGATGGTTGCGAATTCCATTTCGCGCTACCGTTAGGAAACCAATTGAGGTACTGGCAATACTCTCGTGCTTGCGGGATGTAAGAGTCTCGCACATTGTGTTGGACAATCACGAAGCCCGGTAAAACGATGAGGTGCAAAAAAAAACGATAAGGTTTTTGGGTGTTTCCGTGTTGTTTGTGCTGGAAAACGATAAGGTTTGGAGCATGGAATGCACGTATTGCTAGCATTTTGCTCAATCTTGTTTGCTCCCTTTCCGTCCTTCCTGTTCACAACCATGGCTTGGAGCATTGAGACCCGGGAGAGGCTTCCGAGTCACGACGCTGAAAACGATAACAAAACGATAACAAAAACGATAACGCTTTTTGACAGAACCCATGCCCGTGAGGAGTTGCCCATTGAGAGGAACTTAGCCACTCTACCCTAGCTTTCCCTTTGTCTCTCCGCCATGGACAGCATACTTGTCTTTACGTTGGAACATGTCTTGGACTCTACGTTGGAACACATTATTGCAGTTGATGAGCGCAGGCTAGCCAAACAAATTGAAGCAAGCAAGCGCAAACGAAAAGCATGGAAGGAGCTTGCTGCTCGTGAGTCCGACGAAGAAAGCCTTTGAAGCCACTATGAGAGCTGATGCGCGCAGTTGTCCAAAAATGCGCGAATCCCTGTAAAACGATGAGGTGCAAAAAAAAACGATAAGGTTGAACATACATCTAATGTGTAAAACGATAAACTTTGACGCAAAAACGATAAGAAAACACATGTGCAGCCCATTTCAATTGAGGTTTTGCCGCGGCCTCAATTGGTTTCTGATTCGATTCCCAAACGAAAATACTAACAAAGGGTATGGTTTCAACCATGGCGAATCCTTTCGTGGTGCGAGACATGCCCAGACGCTCCTGGCTTCGGCTTCCAATGGAAGACCCAGACCCTCCATTGGAAGTTTCAGAGGGGTTTTTTGGGGTCTCAAAGCCTGGCTGTAGGCCCCCAAATAAATCGAATGGAGCGTCTGGGTGCATGGATTTCGCGACCCAAAGCTCTGGGGGACCTTGAACCAGGCCGTCAGGTTTCAGGCTGGGAGCTGACCAGATCTGGGGCGTGTGTCCCTTGAAAGGGCAGAGAGGCCTTGCGTGGGCGGAACCCCCGCACGATGGCAAGGCTGCCTTGCTTGCTTTCCTTCGAAAACACAACATGCAGCACAGCTGTTAGCTCTCTCTCTCTCTCTCTCTCTTTCTGCTTCTTTTGGCATTCCTTTAAACCAGCGAACCTCCCCCGCCCAAAACAAATGCCACACCCCCGCACCGCGAAACCCGAAACAAGGAGGGCCTGGGAGCCACAATCAAAACCCGGGTAAGTGAAGGTTAGGGACAGTCCCATCCATAAATAGTTGCAGACATCCGCCTTCTTAATTCTTGAAGCATGGTGCTGGGTCAAGAATTGTTATACCGGGTTTGATTTTGACTCACCTTACTGATAATGGCAGGTGTTTCGTTTCGTTTCTTTTTGCTGGGATTGCGACCATTCTAAGACCGATCGGTTTTGATTGTCACTCATGGGCTACTTCGCAGGTACGGACCCGTGGAGAGCCAGGTGTTGAAGGACCTTCTGCTCTCAAACAACGAGCTGACCCAACTCCCCGACCCCAGCGCCGTGGCATAAAAAATGTCGATGCGGTTTGGGAGCGGTTGACGACATAAATGCTTTGCCAGAATTAGCTCCCCTTTTTGTGTTTTTTGCTTTTTTGGGGGTCCCTTTGTTTTCCACTAACCATGCAAACACATATATATATATATATACATACATATTTATATATATACATATGTATATATATATGCTCACCCCCCCCCCAGGGCCTACCTTTCCACTTCAAAATGTACAAAACCCTCTTATTTTTCAGGACAGGGGGTGTGAGCATATATACGCAAGAAGTGTGCTGTTGCTGCATATTTGGGTGACAAGTCATGTTGAGTAACAACAGCAAAGAGTTTATAAACTTTCAAGACAGTTTATAAACCATGTCAAGGGTTTGACGGTTTCCTTGCAACAAGGGCAGGGGGGGGAGGGGGGGGGGGGTACTGAGAAGTCTTTACAAAGTTGGCTGAGTCACACCTCACTGCTAAGACTTTCCAACCAACCACCCCCCCCCCTCCTTCAACGATACCATGAACACTTCGTAGGGTGTTGTTGCCTTGATGCGGGAAACTCGTCAAACACTCAATAAGGTTTATAAACTTTTCTGAAAGATTATAAACCTTCTGTAGGCTTATTGCGTAGCAAGTGGAAACTATTGTTTGGGAAGAAAAGGACACTCATTTGGGGCCTTGTTTGATGTGGTTTGGGCATGTGGTCCTAAAAGGTTGATGATGTGTGTGTGTGTGTCATCACTGCTGCACTGTTATATCAAAGGCTGTCCTGTAAGCATCTGATTTATCAGTAGAGCACTCATTACCTCAATGGCTTGGTTTCTCAATGGCATCAAAGCTGGCCACAGGCTCAAAAAAATGCAAAAACTGCAAAAATCCAGACCAATCAAGCCCTGACCTCTGACTTGCATCTGGGTTTTGCATTTTTTGCATTTTTTGAGCCTGTGCAGGTTTTGGAGCTTCCAGGTTTGGATTTTTTGCATTTTTTGAGCCTGTGCAGGTTTTAAGCACCCAAGGCTCCAAAACCTGCACAGGCTCAAAAAAATGCAAAAAAACCAAACCAGGAAGCCTCAAAACCTGCACAGGCTCAAAAAAATGCAAAAAATGCAAAAATCCAGACCAATCAAGCCCTGACCTCTGACTTGCATCTGGGTTTTGCATTTGTTGCGTTGTTTTGAGCCTGTGCAGGTTTTGGAGCTTCCAGGTTTGGATTTTTTGCATTTTTTTGAGCCTGTGCAGGTTTTAAGCACCCAAGGCTCCAAAACCTGCACAGGCTCAAACAAATGCAAAAAATGCAAAAATCCAGACCAATCAAGCCCTGACCTCTGACTTGCATCTGGGTTTTGCATTTGTTGCGTTGTTTTGAGCCTGTGCAGGTTTTGGAGCTTCCAGGTTTGGATTTTTTGCATTTTTTTGAGCCTGTGCAGGTTTTAAGCACCCAAGGCTCCAAAACCTGCACAGGCTCAACAAAAATGCAAAACATCCAAACCAGGAAGCCTCAAAACCTGCACAGGCTCAAACAAATGCAAAAACTGCAAAAATCCAGTGACCTCTGACTTGCATCTGGGTTTTGCATTTTTTGCATTTTTTTGAGCCTGTGCAGGTTTTACGCACCGAAGGCTCCAAAACCTGCACAGGCTCAAACAAATGCAAAAAATGCAAAAATCCAGACCAATCAAGCCCTGACCTCTGACTTGCATCTGGGTTTTGCATTTTTTGCATTTTTTGAGCCTGTGCAGGTTTTGGAGCTTCCAGGTTTGGATTTTTTTGCATTTTTTGAGCCTGTGCAGGTTTTAAGCACCCAAGGCTCCAAAACCTGCACAGGCTCAAAAAAATGCAAAAAATCCAAACCAGGAAGCCCAAAACCTGCACAGGCTCAAAAAATGCAAAAAATGCAAAATCCAGACCAATCAAGCCCTGACCTAACATTGCATCTGGGTTTTGCATTTTTTGCATTTGTTTGAGCCTGTGCAGGTTTTGGAGCTTCCAGGTTTGGATTTTTTGCATTTTTTTGAGCCTGTGCAGGTTTTAAGCACCGAAGGCTCCAAAACCTGCACAGGCTCAAACAAATGCAAAAAATGCAAAAATCCAGACCAATCAAGCCCTGACCTAACATTGCATCTGGGTTTTGCATTTTTTGCATTTTGTTGAGCCTGTGCAGGTTTTGGAGCTTCCAGGTTTGGATGTTTTGCATTTTTTTGAGCCTGTGCAGGTTTTAAGCACCCAAGGCTCCAAAACCTGCACAGGCTCAAACAAATGCAAAAAGATGCAAAATCCAGACCAATCAAGCCCTGACCTAACATTGCATCTGGGTTTTGCATGTTTTGCATTTGTTTGAGCCTGTGCAGGTTTTGGAGCTTCCAGGTTTGGTTTTGTTTTTGCATTTTTTTGAGCCTGTGCAGGTTTTGAGGCTGAAACCATCAAAAAACGTTAAAAAAAGGTGTTGTTTTGCAGTTTCCTTAAAAAAAACACTGCAAATAACAGTGATTTCACTACTGACAAAGTTGCATCTGAAAACGCTTTCCGTTTTCGTGTTTATTGCTTTCTCGAATCCTGTTTTGCATCAAGTACAGAAAGCACATCTGAGACAATATCAAAAATTGCACAAAAACACCGTAAATTACAGTGCTTTCTGCAAGGCATCTGCAAACCAAGTGGACACTGAACATCTGCAAGTAAATCTCTTTCATGCAAAAAGTAGAAAGGTAGGCCCTGGGGGGGGGGGTGACCATATATATATATATATACATATATATATATTTTTGCAGGGGTCCTTATTCCAGCCTATGATCATAGGTGGGTAGGCCCGGGATCCTTGAAGGTGTCTCATGGTGAGTACTTGTTTGAAACCCTCGCGTGTGAGGCTTCAAAGTTTTCGGGGGTTCCCAATTTTGAGACCCACGTGCCTGGAGTCTGCATGACCCCTAAAAAATGGGTCCATGACCCCTTTTGGGTAATGACCAAGCAGTTTTTAAAGGGGGGCGTACTGCCCTTACTAAGAATATGTCCTGGTCAGTTTTTCCCTCTTTTGTCTTGTTGTTCTTCCGGATTTCCAGGCGCCTTGGAAATTGGGTCCTTTTCCCTCCCATGGACATATCCGCCATGTTGTTCCGCCCCCACAAAACCAACACCGTTTTTCTGTGCAGTTCTTCGGATGTCTTTATCCTCCCCCAAAAATATGAGTGTGCCTCGAAATTAAACAGGAGGGGGTACGCAGGGTGTTGGTCCATTCCCACAGTTCCATTTTGGCACCGATTCTTTTTAAGCCACAGCCATATGAAAAAACGGCGCGGGTCGAATCGAGGCGCAGCCCGGATACTGGAGATGTTGGACCTGGAGCGGAACGCCGTGTGCCAACTGCCCTCCTTCGCCCAGAATCTCCAGCTCCGAGTGGCTCGACCAACGACTCGGGCGGCAGATTGTTGTTGGGCATATTTTGACCACCCGGACCCTCAAACTACCCATAAAAAAGGGGAACAAGTCACCAACCATAAGTTTATGTTGCAATGACCCCATTTTTCTGAATAGTTCTTGACTGCTATTGGGTGGGATCTTTAGACTTCAACTTTTTAGGAAATCAAGTTGGGCTTTCCACTAAACCACCAAACAGTGATTCACTTTTTGCAGGGGGGTCAACAGAAACCAAGATTGTTCGGCATATTTGCTTGTTGTGGTTTAGTGATTGAAATCCAACCACTTAACTGCTAAATTTTATTTGTTTTTGCTCCACTTCCAACGTCAACCAAGATTGGCTGCTCCGGGAGCCGGCTTGGGTGAATTTTTGATTGAGGTTTTTGGGGGTGCTTCGGATCGGAGTGAGGATGTATGGTCTCTTGGAGGTTGCCTTCTTCTGGTCTCTTAGGAGTTCTTTGGGTTTCATAGGGTTTCATAAGGTTCATGTGGTTTAGGGTTTACCCTGATGTGTTTGAACATCACGGGCACGCTCTCGATGGTTCCCTGAGCAAATGGTTCCGTGATGGGAGGGCTGGAAACATGGTTCGGAACGCAAGTAGACCATTGAGGGAATTGCCGGCAGTTTGCATTGGTAACTAGTTTGCCCCTTCCTATGTATGTGTAGAGGTTATAGAGGTAAGAAACCCGTGGTAACAAGAAGCATCAGATCTCGCTCTTTCCAGTGGGTAGAGGTGGGAACAAAAACAACCCTGGTTTTCCATGGTAAGTACCTTTTTTAGTAGAGGGCCGACATCATACCCCTACCCTCCCCCAAAAACAACAACAGCCCGGGTTTTTCATGGTAAGTAGTTTTTTTTAGTAGAGGGCCGACATCCTACCCCCCCCCCCTCCAAAAAACAAAGAAGCAAAACAAACGCACAGGACGTAACTTTTTTTAAGTAGAGGGCCGACATCATACCCCCGCGAAAGAAGCGCGGGTATTGGGTGGTAACCAATGTAAAGCACAATCCCAACAACAACCATGATGGTTGTGGTTGGAATTGTGCTTTACATTTTTGCTTATCGTGGTTCAGTGGTTGAACTCCAACCACTAAACTGCCAAAACTTAAATATTTGCTCCCCTTCCAACGTCAACCAAGGGTGACTCGCAGTGATCCCCCCCAAAAAAAAGAAAACAGGATAAAAAATACCCCCCCCCCCAAAAAAAAAAAAACAACGAGCAGAAGAAGAAGTAAAACGGGGCAACAAAAAGGCCCGCCGTGAAACGTGCCTGTCCAGGAGCTGCGCGCCGGGCACAACTGTTTGCAGCAGCTGCCAAGCTTGAGCCAGCGCCTTTGGCAGCGAGACTTAGGGCTGAGATTTTGACTAGGTCCCCCGGCTAGGTGCCCGACCTCTCACCAACTTTTTGGGGTTTTAGGTTCCCCTAAAATAGACGGCAGAAAAAGTTGGGTACCCTTGTTCTAACCTCTCTACTGGAGGACCTAGATGACTTCGCAGCCGGCCTCTCGACCTTTTGGTACCCCTTGTTTGGCCCATTAGTCAGAAGTCATGACCCCAAAAGGTGATGGGGGGGGTTGGGGCAACCGTTTTTTTTGTTTGGGGTTCCCATTTTTCGTCATGGACCCCAAAAGGTGATCACCTTTTATTTCTGTGTCCCAACTGCGCAAGTGCGGACAATCGCCTGAGTCAAGTCCTCAAAACCGATTCGGGTAGATGAAAAGACGATGGCCAAAATGCATGTGGGTGTCCGCTTTGGTAATTATTTTCGTTTTTGATTGTGACTCACCTATTGGGGGGTGGTCCAAGGAGGAATCCCTTAAGGAACCCGGGCTCTCAACTACACTCCCCGATGGTACCTGCCGGATGTTCCATCATGCTTGTTGAAGCAGCTTGTATTTGAGCAGCGTCGACTCGCTTTCTTAGCTTAAATCGGGTTGCAGTTTGGAACGCATGGTTTCCTGAACCCCCCCCCCCGAAAAGTCGAAGGGCCTCGAGCGCACAGCACGGGGGACGGCTGGAGTGGTCCCGGTGGTACCTAGGAATTGATCCACCCCTACTTTGTTGGCCCGGCCTGGTCTTGCTGTGCGAGTAACACACGCAGAGACAAATCTTGGAAGGCACTACAGTTTGCACTTAGCCAGAACCCAACCCAAGAAGAAGGGATCCACAGAAATTGTGTCCGGAGTTTGTGTCACATTTGATTTTCTCAAGGCACTCTGTGGATCCATTTGAGCTGAGGCGTCGGTGAATCTTTAGGCAGGTTCTAATAAATGGATTCCAGCTTGCACCAAAGGACAACAAAGTGCGTATCATCCTGGAGCCATTTGTTAGAACCCATTGAGGGTCACCCAACTGCTAGGAACATGGCGCTAAACGTGCTCAGCGTCCCGCGGAACAACCTGAGCTCTTTGCCGGAACTGCCGGACAGACAGCTCGTCAAGATCGATGTGAGGGAGAACAAGCTGCAGGACAAAGTGTTTTGTATTGTTTTCCCTTTGTGGTTTGCACTGGAGATTGCATTCCTGGTTCATGTAGAGGCTTGACATGATACCCCAAACAGCGGATACTTGGAGCTTGGTGGGGTAGGAGGTATTCGGGACCTTGACCCCTTGACGGATGTCACGGGTTCCCCGAGCACCAACAACCCCTTGAACCGCGAAAACTTGTTCGCCCGGCTTGGTGGTGTTTTTGTTGGCTACGAGCGGTTGCGCGAGTTTTGAATGGCTTGGTGCTACGCCCAATCTAGATGTTACATGTATAGGCGGTGAAACATCTACCCCTCAGGGTCGTCCCCTATTGGTTTTGCAGGTTCCTCTCAGTTTATGGCTGTATCGCCAGTTACTTTTGCTACGGACATGTTCAACAGATCCCTTGGTTTTCACTTGGTGGCTCCCAGCCATCCCCTTAGCTTTTTAGCCTGTTAGTGCTTAGTGGTAGTTTCCATTTAATCAAGGGTCAAGGGGAACGCCTGCGAGCAAGTCAAGCTGTCTATGACCTCAGCTTGCCAGACATCGCTGAATCGCCGTAACTTGTAGCGACGACGAAGTCGCCCAAAGTGAAGGTTTCTGCCTTGGGGTCCCCTCATTTTCCAGTTGCTTGGGATTATGACCCTTTAAATTTTGGTCAATGACAAACCATGATTTTGGGTAATGCCCCCAATTTGTTTGAGGGTCATGGAGACTCCAGGTGAAGTCTTATCCTTCCATTTGCTGAAATGAAGCGTTGACATTTTTCCCCTGTTGGTTTTAAAGAGAATCTGTCACTATTGGATATATTGTCTCATATTGTGCCAGGGAACTTAGGCAGATGGAGGTTACTGTTTGGTGCGCGGACCAGGATTTGCCCTGAGAAACGTTGAGATGTTTCAGGTGCTGCATCTAAGTGCGGATTCACAGATTCTAGCACTCCTTGACCGCGCTTATTTCCCCTTTTTCACAGGTGGCTCGTCAAAGCACACACCCTAGAAAGAAGGACCTGGACCCTCAAAACACCCAAAACAAAGGGGCATCTTGCCCTAAACTTAAGAGAGAACTCCTCATGTTGTGGGGTAGTTGTTTCATGTCCAGATTTGTTTTTTGCGAGCCTTTTTTTCCGCTTGGTTGAACAGTTGTGTCCTTGGCTTTTGTGTTTTGCTCTCCTGTTTCTTTCCCGGGTCGTTGTGTGTGTGTGTGTGGGTGTGGGTGTGTGTGTGTGTGGGTGCATGCATGCGCGTGCGTGCGCGTGCGTGCGCGTGCGTGCGCGTGCGTGCGCGTGCGTGCGCGTGCGTGCGCGTGCGTGCGCGTGCGTGCGCGTGCGTGCACGTGCGTGCGCGTGCGTGCACGTGCGTGCGCGTGCACGTGCGTGCGCGTGCACGTGCGCGTGCGTGGCGTGGCGTGGCGTGGCGTGTGCGTGCGTGCGTGGCGTGCGTGCGTGCGTGCGTGCGTGCGTGCGTGCGTGCGTGCGTGCGTGCGTGCGTGCGTGCGTGCGTGCGTGCGTGCGTGCGTGCGTGCGTGCGTGCGTGCGTGCGTGCGTGAGTGCGTGCGTGCGTGCGTGCGTGCGTGCAGTGCGGGCGTGCGCGTGCGTGCGTGCGTGCTGCGTGCGTGCGTGCGTGCGTGCGTGCGTACGGGCGGGCGGGCGGGGGGCGGGCGGGCGGGGCGGGCGGGCGGGCGGGCGGCGGGCGGGCGGGCGGGCGGGCGGGGGCGGGGCGGGGGGCGGGCGGGCGGGCGGGCGGGCGGGGCGGGCGGGGGGCGGGCGGGCGGGAGGGCGGGCGGGCGGGCGGGCGGGGCGGGCGGCGCGGGCGGGCGGGCGGGCGGTCGGGCGGGCGGGCGGGGCGGGCGGGCGGGGGGCGGGCGGCGGGCTGGGCGGAGAGGGGGGGGGGCGGGGGGCGGGCGGGCGGGCGGCGGGCGGGCGGGCGGGCGGGCGGGCGGGGGGCGGGCGGGGGGCGGGCGGGCGGGCGGGCGGGCGGGTGGGTGGGTGGGTGGGGTGGGGGGGTGGGTGCGTGCGTGCGTGCGTGCGTGCGTGCGTGCGTGCGTGCGTGCGTGGGTGGGTGGGTGGGTGGGTGGGTGTGTGTGTGTGTGTACGTGTGTGTACGTGTGTGTACGTGTACGTGTGTGTACGTGTGTGTACGTGTACGTGTGTGTGTGTGTGTGTGTGTACGTGTGTGCGTGTGTGTGTGTGTGTGTGTGTGTGTGTGTGTGTGTGTGCGCGTGTGTGTGTGTCTGTGTGTCTGTGTGTCTGTGTGTCTGTGTGTCTGTGTGTCTGTGTGTCTGTGTGTCTGGTGTCTGTGTGTCTGTGTGTCTGTGTGTGTGTCTGTGTGTGTGTGTGTGTGTGTGTCTGTGTGTCTGTGTGTCTGTCTGTGTGTCTGTTTGTCTGTGTGTCTGTGTGTCTGTGTGTCTGTGTGGGTGCGTGCGTGCGTGCGTGCGTGGGTGGGTGGGTGGGTGGGTGGGTGCGTGCGTGCGTGCGTGCGTGCGTGCGTGCGTGGGTGCGTGGGTGCGTGGGTGCGTGGGTGCGTGGGTGCGTGGGTGCGTGGGTGCGTGGGTGCGTGGGTGCGTGGGTGCGTGGGTGTGTGGGTGTGTGGGTGTGTGGGTGGGTGTGTGGGTGTGTGGGTGTGTGGGTGTGTGGGTGTGTGGGTGTGTGGGTGTGTGGGTGGTTGGGTGGGTGGGTGGGTGCACATGGGTGGGTGGGTGCGTGCGTGCGTGCGTGCGTGCGTGCGTGGGTGGGTGCGTGGGTGCGTGGGTGCGTGGGTGCGTGGGTGCGTGGGTGCGTGGGTGTGTGGGTGTGTGGGTGTGTGGGTGTGTGGCAGTGTGGCAGTGTGGGTGTGTGGGTGTGTTGTGGGTGTGTGGGTGTGTTTTGGGTGGGTGGGTGGGTGGGTGGGTGGGTGGGTGGGTGGGTGGGTGGGTGGGTGGGTGGGTGGGTGGGTGGGTGGGTGGGTGGGTGGGTGGGTGGGTGGGTGGGTGGGTGGGTGGGTGGGTGGGTGGGTGGGTGGGTGGGTGGGTGGGTGGGTGGGTGGGTGGGTGGGTGGGTGGGTGGGTGGGTGGGTGGGGTGGTGGGTGGGTGGGTGGGTGGGTGGGTGGGTGGGTGGGTGGGTGGGTGGGTGGGTGGGTGTGTGTGTGTGTTTGTGCGTGTGTGTTGTTTTTCTTTTTTTGGGCTCCTCTTGTCTTTGTTTTTTTTCTCCCCGGCGGCGAACATATCACGCCGCGGGGCCTTGGTCAAGCGCCGCGACTGGCCCCGCAGGAGCTGCGGGGAGTTCTGCGGGTGGAAACGCTGCTTTGCGAGGAGAACCCCTGGCGAGAACCGCCATCTGTCAAGGCGCTGGAGCTGGAGCAGTCGCAGTGCCTGGACCGACAAACCGAGAAAACGGCGAGGGGTTAGAGCGGGGGCTTGCGGGGTTTGGGGGTTTTGGGGGGGTTTGGGGGTCTAGGAAAAAGGGTGCCGTGGACTTTTGGGGTTGTTTTGTTGCAGCCTGCCTGAAAACCAATGATTTTGGGCCCCAGATTCACCTACCCCGGTTTATTCATACGCGGGTTTTCCCTTCCAAACTGATCCCAGGGACACCCCTGTTTCTTAATATGGGGTCAACAAGATGTGTTGCAGCCAAGCACCCTAAAAACCAACACCATCCAATTTCAAGCGGGCAACCGAAAGGGACCCGATAAAGTTAAACAGACTGGCGCCATTAGACACGGGGCCAGCGCTCGAAAGGAGGCATTCCTCTTCGGCCTTTTGGCATTTTTGGCGCCCCGAAACCCGAAACCTGAGACCCACTGATTTTCACGTCATTTGGTGGTAAGGGCTGTTTGGATGCGTGTTGCTTTGTTTTGTTTGGTGCCTGCCCTTTGCAGCTTGGTTGTTTCAGGGGCCCCAGCCGGAAAGCCCGCATGTTGTCCTCAAGCATGGAGGGACCTACTCCAAATACATGTCGACCCTCTACTAAAAAGCGGATCCGTTTTTACCATGGAAAGCCCATCAGTTTCCAACCAAAGATACCAACTGAACAAAGCGTTGGTATTTTGAGTAGGGGGTAGTTTGTGTGTTTCTCTCGAAGGACGGGAGTCCGAAGAAAAAAAACACAAAAACGATGGAAAGACTCGGATTCAACTGGACTAGGGGACCCCCCGGCAAAACGAAGAAACATATGAGGAAGGTAGGAAGAGATGGCGAGAGATGGGTGAGAGAGCGGTCCATTGGCTCCCTTCTCTCACTCATACCATCTCTGTACACTCTATCTTCTCGTGCCTGTCCCCTGCCTCTTTGTCATGGCAGGTTAGCCGCAATCAAAACCGGGTAGATGAAGGTTGGTAAGGGATAATCCCAACCATAAATGGGTGCTGCCTTTTTTAAATTCTTGACATTGTCCAGGGTCGCCCATTTGAAGACCGATCGGTTTTGACTATGACTATGCTGATGTTATGATTGCATTGGATCGCTCATTTCCCGAGTTCTTGGACAAACGATTTATCAGGAACCTGCACCTTCAGACTATACCCTTAAAGCAAAGGTTTTTGACAGCCAAAACTATGGAGTGTGTTCCCTTCTTTCAGGGTACTTTGAGGGTTCAGGAAGACCCTTTTATCAAATGTGGGTCATTTGCTTTAGCCAATCCACTCGGGAAGCGAGAAATCAGAGGCTGGCACGGCGGTCTCCTTCAAACATATATGCTGTATTTTGGGCACAAGTATGGAACATAATCCGAAACTATGCTTCTTAGCGGTTTTTGGTGTGCCGTTTTTGGGGCCTTTTTGGGGAACAACTGCTACACACTTGTTTCATGGGACTATGCAAATACTTCCCTTTTCCTTAGGCAGGGGTACCTCGAATACGTAGTGGAGCCCTTGCATGTGTGGTTCAGCCTTAGTTTGCTTTGTCCAAAACAATATGTGTGATCCGCTTAGCAGTAGTTGCCCTTTCTTGGATAGTGGCACGTGGGCCCTTTTCCACTGTTTGTTTGTTGTAAATGTTATCTGAAACGTTCAATCTTGATTTAGTTGCTTCTTTCAAAATATTGGAACCCGTTCTTGCAAACGCACACACACACACACACATTTGTTGTTCTTGTGAATGCCACGGCCGCCGAACAACCCGCTTTGGTTTTTGCGAGCTTGAACCGGTGGTTATGAATAGAGGCTGTCTTTTTGTGAGGGCGCCGTTTTGTTGGGGGTGGTTCTAAGGGAAGCCAAAAGGACACCCTTCAGTGGGGGTTCACCTACTTGAACTGGGTTTGAGTTGTTTCGACCACCTGTTTTTCAAACCACGTGCCTGCCCTTTCTCCCCGCGGCTACTGGGCGGCCTTTTGGTGGAGATCATTGAGGTCCATCAACCACGTTTGCGGGTGTTCCCTATCAAAATACTTGGCCAACAGAGGTTGGAAGTTCGTTGATTTCTGCAACTCCCCCTTATTTGGCACCAAGCTAGGAAGCATCTCGTTCCTTGCAGGTGCGACTGCTGCAAAGCGGCCAGTGCAACCGCGAGAAAAAAAGGGGTTGAAAGAGCGGGCGTTCCCAAGGATTCTTAAGCTTGGAACCGACCACACTTACTCACTTATCCAAAGTGAATCGACTGGATCTGACCTTTCATGGTTTTCCCATGTTGTTATTGGTCTGGGTCCCAAAAAGTGCCCCCCTCTACAAATACCCGTGTTTTTTGGTTGAAAACCGATCGGTTTTCCACGGTACATACCAAACCTTTTTTAGTAGTAGGTCGACATGATACCAGCTGAAAAAAGGCCGGGTATTTGGAGGTTACGGGGGTGACCTATTTCTAGGTCCGAGGGCCACTTGAGCTTCCATGCCTTGTGGCTGTAACAGCACTCGAGCCGCGGAGCTACACAAAGTTCTGGCGAGAAGGGTTCGGAGCAAAGGGTTGCGACCAGAAGTTCTTCTAGGCCTTTTTTCAGTTGGTATCATGTCTCGACCCTCTACGAAAAAAGGAGGTGTTTACCATGGAAAACCATAATTTCCATGGTTTTCCCAAAAATACCCTAAACAAAGTGGTATTTTGAGTAGGGGGTAGGGCTTGATTCCTTTCCCATTCTTTGCAACCATTTTTTCTTTTCAATAACCGATCGCCGTTTTTCCTGCGATTCCGGAGGTTTTCTAGAAAGATTCGGATCCCTGGAAAGAATGGAAATGGAAGGTACCCCTAGAGTTCTGTAACATCTCAGCGCTATGTAAGACATTACCTTTCAAGTCCAGAAGCAACATCTCAGCGTCATGTTCAGTAGTGGGCCTTTCTCTTAAAGAACACGCGGCCAGGGACAGAAAAGGAACCACCATACCTTGTGGCTGGTTGGTTGGATCTTTGGCCTATCTTTGGGAAGCAGTGGGAGTTTCCATCCGACCCACAACAAGTTAAACTTTTTGCCGAGGGGTCAACAGCAACCAAGTAAAAGATGGCGAGTTCTGCGAATTTATCCAAAACCTGGACCATCAAGCTATCCGAATAATGGCTGGTGAAACATTTGGCTGGTGAATTCATTCTTTCAGGCTAACTTGAGGGTCGTATTGCTGAACTGTGGGTGCGGATAAATGCGGACATGCACGGCTTTGTTGCATGATAACACGAGGGAGACTGAGAGAATGGGAGAGGGACGGGGAGAGAGATTGCAAAAAACATGTAGCAGCAGCTTGAGACAAGCATAGACAACTTTTCAGCAATTCAAGTTTAGGATAGGCTCCTCGGCATGCGGCTTGCTCGGTGCCTACCCAGAACCAACAAAGCACACAACACGACTTCCTGGACCGTCAACTTACCTTGAACATTTGGATATCGGCCCACACTTATGTGAGTTCCTGTCTCTCAGGGTAGTTTTCGAACATCTCGGTCCAGGTTTCCCACTTTTCAGGACTCCTTTAAAACCGGCGACAGCTTCAAACTTGAAAAGTAAGGGGTTTTCCAAGGGAAAGGCCTCTTCCTGCTTTTTTTGTTTTACTGCTTTTGGTTTAGTGGCTTAGAAATCCAACCACTTAACTGCTAATTTATTTATTTATTTTGGTCCGTCCGCTTCCAACGTCAAGCAAGTCTTTTCTACTCGGGATCTGACGTGATACCCAAAACAAGCTTGTATTTGGAGTGGGCATGGTGCGTCGATGTGATGGGAGAAGGGTTGATGCTTTCGGGGCTTTCAACCATTTCCTCGATTTCCTTGACATGGTTTTACATTCGGTGCGTATGGGATATCTCTTGCTTGAAGTTACCGACCTTGAAACATGTTGATGCTTTGGTCACCCACCAACTTTCCGGCGGCGTGCTCCCACCTTGTGCATCCTTTTGATTGTTGTTGTCATTGTCCAGTTGGCTTTTGGAGTAGTGGGGGTTGGAAGTCTCTCCAAAATGAACCGGCCAATACAAATGCATGGCTCAAATCTTCCCCCTACTCCAAATACCCAATCTCTGGGATATCATGTCAACCCCTCCCTGACTAGAAGAGAAAGTACGTCAATGTACAACCACAGTCTTCAACATCTACCCTAAACAAAGTGGGTAGGAGGGGGTTTGTTTCACCTGGCAATTTTGTAATGTGTCTTCCTGGACCCCCAGAGGAGCCCTTTTTTCTGCCTTTGTACCCCTTTTTTTTTGGGTCAAAGGCAGAAAAAAGGGATCGGTCCTTTGGGGGTCCAGGTTCTTTCGCCCCCCAACCGCGCCAAGCCTCGCGAGGCCGTGGTTTGAGCGGAGGGCGAAAAAAATCCGAGTTCTGCCGCGGAGTGCCCAGGGCCTGAGCTCAGTGTTGTTGTTGTTTTTTTTTTTTTTTTTTTTTTTTTTTTTTTTTTTTTTTTTTTTTTTTTTTTTTTTTTTTTTTTTTTTTTTTTTTTTTTTTTTTTTTTTTTTTTTTTTTTTTTTTTTTTTTTTTTTTTTTTTTTTTCGGGCGCCACTGTTGACTTTTAGGTCGTGGTCCCAAAAGGTCACCTCTCATCCACGAACATGGCGCTCGACAGGGGATTTGTCCAGGTGGAAGCTGATCTAGGTAGCCTCCCTCAGGTGCCATGTTAGTCGGAGGAAGGGTAGTTCCTTTGTTTCCGGGTCCAAACTGGTTGCAACTGAGCTGCATTGTCTGTGAGGCCAGTTGGTACCTTGAGCCTAAGTTTGATTCGGTGCCGCTCTCTTTTCGGCGGGCGGGGTGCAGTCTCCAATTCCAAGTGGGGTGTTCCCTTTTTAGGGGAAAAACACGATACTGAGCGATACTAGGGCATAAAGGTACAAGGGTTGTCCACGGGGTTGTTTTTTCCAACCCACTTGGAATTGGAAGCACTGACTGGTTTCCGAGCCATTTCCTTTTTGGAACGTTGCAAGGGAGACCGCCTGCAAATTGATCAACGTTTGAATGGGAAATTCTAGTGACCTCTGGTGATTTTCAACATGGGGGATCCCAAACAGGCCACCGATTCAACATACCCGCTTTTTTCAGTTGGTATTTTTTGGAAAACCTGGTTTCCATGGCACATACCAAACCTGTTTTTAGCAGAGGGTCGACACGATAGTTTGACAAAAAGCTGGGGGTATTTGGAGGTGACGGAGCTCTTTTTTCCCCATCCCTTTTGGGGGGGTCCTTGGGTTCCATGAACCCTTGGCAACACGGGGTGCCGCTGGAAATGGGCGCCCCCGGAACCTCTGCATATCCCCACCTTCAAAATGGAATTGGGGGAGGGGGGATTTCGACCCCTGGAATTCCATTTAGGGTTCCATTTATGCCTTTTGTGAGACTGAATAAGTGGAATTGTGGGACCCCCCCACCCCTCTCCCCCTTGAGGTAGGGGGGATCTCTGCATTGTTTTCCTTCCCAGCCCCGATCTTGGGGAAGAAACAAGCAGCAACTTTCAGCCTCTTCTTCTTTTGGCGGAGGGTGAGAGTCACTAATGTCTTGGTATCTTTGGAGGGACTAACTCACCTCTCTTCACCATCACAAGCAAGCAACCAACGGTACTAAGGGACCCTCGGAGTTTGTTCGTTCAACTTCCTGGCATGCAGATCTTGCAAGCCCGCGCTGGCAGAACAACTCTCTCACATCACCGCTGCCATTTTTTGCTAGCCCCTTTGGGTTGGTCCCCCCTTTGGGTTGGATCCTGTTCTCTTGGCCGGTGTGTGTCACGGCACACCGCGCTCGCGCTTTTTCGTGGGCGCCGAGCTAGTGCGCGACTCGAAGCGATGGGGCGACCAAAGACTCAGCACGTGGAGGATGTGTTGGCTGCATCCTTGGGCGCGCCTCGGGCTAAAAGCTGAGGGTGAAGATTCAGAGATTCAATGTGGACCCCAATTTCCCAACCTGAGACCTGCGTGCAAGATCATTCTCGATTTCCCCCTGCCTTGTAAATCGAGAACCCACAAAAATTGGAGGATCTGTCTCGAAAAAAACGGGTTTTGCGGCCATACAGCCTTCAAATTCGGGTTTTCGTTCTAAAACCAGGTTGTGTTTTTCAGAACCCGGACAAAAACGCGTAATCAACCCGTACAAAACCCGTAGCTGACCCGTGAGAACTCGTAACCTAAAACGCAGTGTCCGAAAACCAGGTTTTGGATTCGAAAAGCAGGTGATTTGCCAGAACCTCTTCTTTCCGCTTTTTTGATGTTGGTTTTAAACACTATCAAACTATCACTGAGTGTTTGTCCAGGGAACTTAAGCAAATTGAGGTGATTACCCATCTTACAATGGCCTAATTTCATCCAAGGCGCTGCTTTTGCACCTCCATTCGCCTTGACAGCCGCGAGCAGCCGAGGCATATGCGAGAGCCCCAACTCGTGCACTGCGCAGACGAGTTCGGCAGCGTTTGCACAAAAAGCTTGGGTGCATTCTGTCGCGACTTGACTTTCACGCGTGTCTTCTCCGAGGTTACTGTCCTTTTACCAAGGTTGACGAACTAGAATTTGAAACAGGAGGTATAATACCAGCATACCCTTTACTTGGCATATGTTGCCTGTTCCCGTCATAGATGCACCTCAAACTACGCATAATGGGTGATTGCAACCCAGATTTGTGGTTGGTGAATTCCATTTTCTCTGGATTCTGGGTAGTTTGAGGGTCCAGGGAGGTGTATAAGAACACAACCCTACGTTTTTCAGGGCCTTCGAGATGCTCCGAAAATGTACAAATGCGGCCACATAGGACGCCTGGGCGGCCCTTTGGGTTGGATGCTTGGACTTTCAGGGGTCCCTAGATGTCCCTTGCCCAGATGCTCCTGGGGCTTCCAATGGAAGACCCAGACATACCCAGACCCTTCATTGGACACGCCAGAGGGGTTTTGGCGTCTCAAAACCTGCCTGTTTGAGGGCCCAACACAAATCGGGAGCGTCTGGGTGTTGCTGATTTTACAAATCACCTTTGTGACCCATGAAAGGTGAGGGTTTATTGGAGCGCTAGGAAAATTGGTGGGGTGATACTAAGGGGAAACAGAGGGAGCCCTGACTTTTTGCTTGAAAATTACAATTTTCCTCCGAACCTGACTCAGTTGCCCAAAGCGAATCAACCGGATCTGACCTTTTGGTTTCCCTGATTCGGCACATTTTCAGTCAAGGTGCCGCATGGTGATCACTTGTTATTTCTGGGTAGCTGCACAACTCAGAATTAACGTTTCCCCTTCCCCACGAGCCTGCAGACAACCACACTTTTTCTTGGGCAGGGGACAATCGCCATAAGGACAAGGTCCCTTGTAAGAGAGATGGCCATTCTCATGTGAACATTATACCACTTCGGATGGACGACATCCTGCACCAGTTGGTAGGTGGTGCATCCCATTGTTTAAAGAGTTTCATCTATCCCCTACTCAAACTACATGTTTGTTTGTTCCAGTTGTATTTTTGGGAAAACCTGGTTTTCCACGGCACATACATCCTTTTTTTGTGTAGAGGGTCGACACAATACCCTGAAAAAAGGCCGGGTATTTGCAGTAGGGGGTATACATCCCAAGTGGTTCAAAATGTACTTCGTGCCGAGCCGAGGCAAGAGATGTTCGTGTCAGCCATGACACGCTTCGATGACCGAGCGCAGGCTTTGCTTGATGCAACCAGCGACGCTCGGCACGCGTGACGTCCCTTGCCGCTTGAGGCCCAACTTCGAATGAATCAATGTGGGGTTGCTTATGGACAAGGAGGGCTCCCATTCAAAATTTGTACCCTGAACAAAAATTGACTTTCTACAACTAGGTCCCCCAGTAGTGCCCTTTTCCTTTTTTTTGGGGGGGACGGGGTTCCCCTACTAAGATAGACTACACAAAAAGTTGGTACCCTTATTCTAACCTCTCCACTGGAGGACCTAGACAAGAACGTGGTCCACATTGCACATCTAAAGCCGCCGCTTCCACGATAGCAACAGGGCGGTTTGGGTTCGGAGAGGTTTGCTTCCCTAACGAGAAACCAAGGGCTCCAGAAACGGTCATGGGAGGTCCTGAAACAGCTCTCACCCTCGAACTTACCGTAGTCTATGGTTGTGTGTTTGAGTATGTTTAGTTTTCTTGTATGCATCCCCTGCTCCAAATACCCGCTTAGGGTATTATATGATGTCGAGTTTCTACTGAAACAGGAGGCATTTATCGTTAATCAAAGAACACAAATACATGTTTTCCCAAAGGATACCATGAAAAAAGCGGGTATTTGGAGTAGGGGGTAGCTTCTGCCTGATCTTCCGGATCGGCAGGCGCACCTTTTGGGCGTCCCTTTTTGGGAAAACTTTGCTGGTTTGTGACCGAAGCGCCCTTTACTAGTAAACCTGCAACAGGTTAGACCTCTTGCTCAGGGAGAAGAGCGTAGGTTTTAATTACGATCGCAAAGGGCAATCACCTTTGTCCTGGTTGGTTGACTTTATTGGGGAAGTACCCTAGTTGGTGGTTGGAAGGGAGCCGTTACGGAGCTGGGGGTATCCAGATTTGCTTTTCAAGAGGGAGCTTTTCAGAGCTACCAGGAGTTCTGTAAGGACCTGGTACCCGGGCCACAGACATGTGATGAATTTGGACGTTTAGCATTTGGGGTTGACTTGAGTGAGTCAGCCTCAGGACAAGCAGTGCAGTGACGACCAAGAGCACGCTGACGGAGAATCCACCACAGTGCCCAGCCACTTGGCAAAGTGTGGGTCCCTTATGGTCCCTTAAAGCCCTAAAATATTCCCCACCCAAAAACTCCCGATTGATTTAGGGCCTTCAAACAACCTGGTTTTGAGACCGGGTCCCAACCACCAATTCTCGGGGTGTCTAATGGATGGGTCTTCCATTGGAAGCCGAAGCCGATCGGAGCCTTTGGGCACCCAAATGGAAGTCTAGTTGTGTTTCCTTTTTGCCTTTTAGTGGTAATTCCCACCCAAATGGAATTCAGGGAGGGGGGAGGCCAATGGGATTCTATTCGTGTTTCCATCTTCCCTTTTATGGGGAAGACTCAAAAAATGGAATTGGGTGCCCCCTCCGCACTAAGGTACAAAGGATCACAGATTGTTTGGGATGAAACTCCTTTAGCCCACCATTCAGAGGTGAATTTGGAGCTAGAAACGGATCTGTTTCCCACTTTTGTACCGAGAGCAATGGAATGTTGGGTCATATGCATGTTTGACTGCACGTTCCTTCAACGGACTGAATGTGAGAGCAATTGAAACAAGCTCACCTGGGTCCAAGGGTAATAAAGGAGCTACCGAAGATGAACGTTTCGAACATCTCCTTGTAAACACTAGCCGCGTGCTACATCGAAACGTCCAT